TGTGATCGTTTTGTGAACCTTTTTTCCGTTTTTCTCAAAAATTAACCTCTCAAATCCGTTATAGTGGGCTCAAGGAGATAGCGGGTAATGGGAAACACCTTTGCCTTAGCGGACACTAACAAAAACTTTTACACAAGAAGTTATCGCCCTCTGAAAGTTCAAATTTTGATTTTTTGACCGTTTTCTTAAACTTTTTGAAAATTCTCGAAAACTACCCTGCTATACATGAGATTTTAGGTTCAGTTCTCACAACAGGTTTCGGGAAGCTCATTTGCTTATGCGATTACGCCTAAATTTATTTGACTCCAAAAGTTATGGCCCTGTGAAAAGTAAAATTTCTCATTTTGTGACCGTTTTTGTTTTGAAAATTTTTAACTTTTCTCGAAGACTGCCCTCACAAATCTGAGATTTTTGGGTTCTATCGAAGAAACAGGTTGCGTGAAGTCTTCTGCATGTTGTTTATGCATAATTTTTACACACAAAAAGCTATGATTCTAGGAATCGTCAAATTTTATATTTGTTTACCGTTTTTTGGTATTTTCTTGCTAACTATCCTGCCAAATCTGATATTCGGGTTAAACTATCCTGCTTAATTATCTGATTTAATCGAATGAACAGGTGGTTGAAAGCCTGATTTTATAATTGGCTATGCCCAGTTTATCTAAGAAAAAGTAATGGCCTTCAAACAAGTCTTTTTGGAATTTTTTTAGAACTTTCGACCGATTTTGGAAATTTTGAAAAATTCTTTCTCTTCTCACTTATTTTAGTAGAGAAACAACTGAGATTATGGGCAAAGTCCAATTTTTAAAATCTGAGTTTTCGTGCCGCATCAGTATAGCAAGTTCATTCAATTTTAAACACATACCTACAGCTTAAGCTGGACCCGTAGTTGTGTTTTTATCGAGACATACGAAAATTTTTGTTCACCTAGTTTCTAACATCTAAAAATTTTTTCGACTTGTTTTATGTTTGGATTGCATCGCAATTTTTTTTAATGGTTTTTCAAAATTTGAGTTAAAAATACGTGAAGGTGTTATTTTTTTTACAAAATTCCTGTTTGATAAAAACAGGTATTATGAAAATGTTATTGGGATCGGTTTTTTATTGAGACGCTTGGTATCAATGGGAATTCCGTCTACTCCCCTGTGTGCCTGCATGCTCATCTAGTCTCTTTTTACCTTACCCCACCTTCTACAGCCTTCGAAAAAGTATGGGGGGGCTTTTTGACCCAATTTTGTTTTTGGATTTTTTACATTTTCTCGAAAACTACTCGTCGAAATCTGAGATTTTGGGTTCTACGGATAAAACAGGTTGTGGGAAGCTCTCCTGCATAAATGGCTATGCCCAAATTGTTTTAAATAATTTGTTATGGCGTTCAGAAAAGAAGAGTTTTCGATTTTTTCACCATTTTTTGAAACTTCTCGATTTTTCTCGTAAACTAGACTCCCAAATCTGAGGTTTTAGCTTCAGTGTGTAGAGTGGGTTGAAGAAAACTTTGCAACCTCAACGATTACGCTTAATATTTTTTTACACAAAAGTTATGACCCTCCGAAATGTCAAATTTTTGATTCGTTGACCGTTTTTTTTAAAACTTTTTGACTTCTCTCGAAAAGTACCCTCCCAAATCTGAGAGTTTGGTTTCAAGAGGTAGAACGGGTTGTGTGAAGCTCTCATAGTTAAGCGGTTGCGCCCAAATTGTTTTACACTAAAAGTTATGACCCTCGGGAAAAAAGAATTTTTGACTGTTTTTTGATACTTTTTTTTACTTTTCTCAAAAACTACCCGCTCGATTCTGAGATATTGGTTTCATTGTGAAGAACGGGTGTTGGGAAGCTCCACTGTATAGGCGGTTACGCTTAATTTTTCGACACAGAAAGTTATGACCCTCGAAAAAGCCAAATTTTTGATTTTTTTTCTCGATAACTACCCACCCAAATTTAATGAGCAACGCTTTAAGCATACTTCAACCCAACAAGCTCTTGTAATCACTTCAATTTAAAAAAAAAATGAAGTAATTGATGAAATTAACAGATTTTGAAGTAATTAATTTGGGATTTTTTGTTGCAATATGTCTTATTTTGAAATTACCCTTGTCCTTCCACATAAATACAAAAATTCTCAAACAGGTTTTTCCAGTTTAGCTGGTCTCTAGTTTGAAATTACTAACCCTGTAATTGGATGCTGTCAGAGTACACTCAAAGGATGCAGATCTTATTTCCACTATATGCGGTTTTTTATATGAGTTTTCAAAAATTCGAAGTACCCTAGGTGCGTTTTAAGCTAGTTTACCTAAATTTTGTCGGCTTAGTTACCGCCATATCAATGCTTCTGAAAGTATTTTTCACGCGGGCTATTTTATTGCTGGGAATGTTTTCTTTAAACTCTCATTTGAGACAAAATTAAGAAACTTTCTTTTGTGGTTTTTCGACGTTAGTGGCTTTCTTCACATTTTTTGTCTGCGAGATCGCAATGATGGTTGAAACTCCGGCTCTTTTTCCTTTTCGCCCTACCTCCAAAATTTTACAAGTAAACATTTTGTTCACATGTTCGATTATTGTGAAAATTGACATACGGACTAACTAGGTTATGACAAACATATTTGGTCTTCATAATTTACCTTGTAAAACCACTCGTTACACCATAAAGTTCATATTCGTGTGAGGAAAGGGAAGGGGGTGGAAGAAAAGGAGCCGAAATTCCGCCAAAATTTTGCTTTCAATTGTTTTCGAAATCGAAGTGATTTGGAAAATAACATTTCAATTAGCACGTGGTTATTGGAAGTCACTTTTGACTAAAGATATTTGACAAGTAGTTTTAAAATGGAGGATCAATTTGTACCTGAAGAAACCATCTCTCACTTAACGGAAGTTATTGGGAGAAGTCTGAATATAAGTATAAGCAAACTGCAATCAGATGATTTCAAGTGAGTAAATTGCCACCCCCCCCCCCCCCTTTTCAAATTTTCTATTTTGTTATTTTTTAAGTGTGGCTAAATGTTGCACCAGTAAGTGATTTTTCGTTTTGAGGTATGAAAAACAAATGAGTTCAGAGAAGGCAATCTGTTTACCATGGAAATTTCGGATCATGTTAACTATTCCCCCACCTCCCTATTGCAATAGGGGGGAAATAGTTAACAAGGTTTGGATGAAATTTATTGAAATAACGTCAACCAATAGGAATGCGAATTGAAATAACGTCAACCAATAGGAATGCGACAGAACACATTTCTGAGAAACACAAAACCAATCCAGTTGAGCATAAATGCTTTTGACAATTAAACTTGCCGAAATGTGTTTTTATAGGGGGGGGGGGGGGGGGAGATTCTGGCTCTTTTCCTCCACCCCCTACCCCCTCCCCCCACCTCACTCAAACTGGTCCAACGAGTGGTTTTACAAGGTTAATTATGAAGACCAAATATGCTTGTTATGGCCTAGTTAGTCTGCATGCCATTTTTCACGACAATCGGACAAAGTGAACGGAAACTTCAAATATGAAAAAATTTGCTGGTGGGGGGGGGGGGGAAGGAAAAAGAGCCGAGATTCTTTACAAGGTACCATAGGAGGGGAAATAGTTAAAATGATCCGAAATTTCTATTACATTGAAATAGTTTTCCGAATCTATCTATTTTTGTATATTTAAATGCGGGCTTCAGTATTTCGCCATGCTTAAAGCTTTTTCAACGTATTATTGCATGTTTAATGAAAGAATTTGGCTCTTTTTCCTTTTCCCCCCACCTCACACGACCTTCAATATATTAGTGTAACGATTGGTTTTACGAGGTTGAGTATGAAGACCAAATATGTTTTTCGTAGCCTTATTAGTCTGTATGTAAATTGTAATAGCAATCGGACAATGTAGTCAACAAATTTACTTGTAAAAATTTGCAGTTGGGGGGAAAAGGAAAAAGAGCCAAGAATTTTTGCACGTTTAAGCTATATTGTATATTGCAATGGTTAAGACTTTTTTTTTCGATTTTCCAATCTGAATTCAGTCTTTATTTCACCGAGTTTGAAATGAGCAACCCAAAAATGGGATACTGTCAGGGCTTTCAATTATGAATGCTCAAATACTTTTGGTTTACGAGATACGACGATTTTTGTGATTTTTCAGAAAATTTAAGGAAAACTCAAATTTTAAAGTAATTCACAAAATTTGAAATTCCGGCTCTTTTCCAGTTTCCCCCCTTTCAAAATACCGAGTTTTATGTTTGTTTTACGTGTTATTACGGCTAAATGCGTGATGTTACGCTGTAAAGTATGAAGAACAAATCTGTTCAGAATTGTCGATTTGTTCACCACGCCAAATTTCATTGCATTGTGACAACGTTAAATAGACTTTTCAAAATTGAATTTGAAAGGGGGGAAACTGGAAAAGAGCCGAAATTCCCAACCTTGTAGTTGGTTCTGTAAGTGTACTCTCAGGAGTTCCAAGTTGCAAATTTTGCGTCCAAATGTGACTGCTCAAATGCTCTTAGTTTCCGAGATGTGACGTTTGTTAGGTAACTTTTGTAAAATGTTCAAAGATCCGAACATTTTACTTTTGTTAGGTAATTTTTTTGTAAAATGTTCAAAGAAATTAGATTAAAAAGTTTTCACAAACTTTGAAGTTTTCATCTTTACAGTGAGGTATGTCAGGGTACTCTCAGGGTTTGCGAATTTTGCCTCCACATTTGACTGCTCAAGTCCTTGTAGTTTTTGAGATATTGCGTTTTTTGTGATTTATTTAAAAAAAGTTTCATAAAGCTGTTCAAAATATGAAATTCCTAACCCTGTAGTTGGGGGCTTTCAGAATACTCTCAGGAGTTGCGAATCTTGCCTCCAAATATGCCGGCTCATTTCTTTTTAGTTTTCGAGATATGACTTGCGATAAGTGTTAGCTGGGCCCGTAGGTGTGTTTTTATAGAAACATACGAAAATTTTTGTTCACCAGTTTATTTCACCATCTTAAATTTTTTTCGATGTTTGTTTTGCATTTCAAGTGGTGATCTTGTTTTCAGAAATGAATTGAAGAATTTCGTTTTGAATGACGAGCAGAAGGCAGTCTACGCCAACAGAGGCAACGGAGACCATGTCAACTTGAACAAAATTATCCCGAAAGACCTTGGAAAAGGTTTGCAAATACGAATCTGCTTTTCAACTCGAATCTTAGGCTCCCTCACCACACAATCAGTTTTATGGTATAACAAGGGGTTTTTTTAGTCAAGAGCAAATTTTAAATTAAAGGCATCATAACGCTTGCAGTTTTCCAGTTTCGAGCTAAAGAAATTAGTGTATGGCGTTGAGTTGGGAAGTTACGAACCTTTTCCCAAAAGGTGAAGGATAAGAGATTTTCATTTACTTACATAAAAAGCTGCGGTGTTTCTGTTTATTCAGTATACGTAGTTTGAGGGTAAAGCAACATTTTCTTGCCTAGAAAACTAACCGAAACATGCAGGTATAGCTGAGTGTTTCAGTTATTTAAGGTGCTGGTTTTTTTTCAAATCCTCAAAAAGTGTATGCTGAACGTGGAGGGCTGTTCAAATGGAGTCTGAACTTTCATCATCATTCCCTAAAAATGGCATTTTGGACTAGTAGCCGGACTGTTCAAACTTATTATTTAGGCAAACTTCTCTTTGTGAAAAAGAAGCCCCCGAGAGTAAAACAGGATGAGGGGGGAGACAAGGGGTCCAAATTGTCTGCAGATAGTCCGGCAGAAGGACCACAAAAGGCGAGCAAAATATTCATGTTTGGAGAACTGGACAACTCTGGATACGTCACACAAATGTTTTACACGTCCAGCAACGTGAGCATACTTTACTTACTCTAAAGGAAGGTACGACCTCAAACAAACTGCTCGGAGAAAGTAATTTTTACAGTAATTTGTAGAAGTGGGACAGTAATTTTTACTGTAGTCAATCCTTGCACTGAAACACTTACATTCTGCGCGTTAACAACTACATATAGAAGTTCAAATTTTTCAGAAAAGTTGAATAATTTTTTAACGAATGTTTAATTTCTTAACGAAGGCACTTAGTGAATAAGAGTCGATCAACGTAGTTCAGAATTTTATATAGATTGTGATGATATAATTTTGTTTTTGTTTAAATCGGAAAAAGGCTTAAACATAGTTCACGCTCAAATTTGATTTTTCGTGATTTGATTTCTGATTTTTCAAGTTCAGTTCGTTTTCTTAGTCAAAAGGAAGGCAAACTCCACTATCGAACTGCAAAAGTGTAAATGTCAAGAAAAGCGTGATCGACTTCTATTTTCGAAAATGGAATTTAAAAGTATAAGATTTCCCAGCGAAAAAGAATTACCTATTAATCTAGCTTTCTCAAATTATCTTAAAATTATCACTCATTAATAATTCGGCTCTTTTCCAGTTCCCCCTTTTCAAAATACCGATTTTATGTTTGTTTTACGTGTTATTACGGCTAAATGCGTAATGTTGCGCTGTAAAGTATGAAGAACAAATCTGTTCACAGTTGTCGATTTGTTCATCACGCCAAATTTTATTGCATTATAACAACGTTAAATAAGCTTTTCAAAATTGAATTTGAAAGGGGGGAACTGGAAAGGAGCCAATAGTTCTAGAAATTCAAAGAGCTTAAAGGCCATCTATTTTCTCGGAAAGTCGAAATTTGAATTTTTTTTTTCAAAAAACTAGTCAGTATTTTTGTGTTAACTTGCGTTTATTGACTCTTTTCCAGCTATGATATTTCACAATAGCTAGCTTGCGAGCGTAGTGTAATTAAACAATAAAGTGGGGGTATGTATCAGTTGTTTTGTATATCAGCTCTTTTCCAATCTACCGACAGTTCTTATTTCTAATTTGATACTGACATTTCTAATTTCTAGAACTATCATTAACGTAGTGAAGCCTCTCATATGAGTCGTGATATTTTTTGGTTTTTTCAAGAAAAGTCTTGAAATTTGATCACGCTTAAAATAGATTTTTCGAGGTTTGAGTTTTGATTTCTTTTCAGTTCAGTTCATTTCATTTGTTAAGAGGAAGGCAAATTCCACTATTGAACAACAAAAATGCCGAAGATTGTGATCGGCCTCTGGTTTCGAAAAATGATTATAGTTTTCCGATTTCCCAGCGGATTAATAAAACTGTACCTATTGATCCAGTTTTGCAAATACAGTTAATTCCAATAAAAAAAGTTATTTTGAAATACGAAAGTTGAAGTTTTTTTAAAATCAAATCAGTTTTTTTTTGTTTCTTTGCGGTCATTGTCTCTGTTCCAACGGTCTGTTCACAATTTTTCAATCTATCTTCACATGCGTTTATGGCTAAATGCGTGATTTTTCTCGTAAGGCCTGAATGACAAATCTGTTCGTAATGGGTAATACGGGGACCGATCTGAGAGCAGACCAATCTTTCGGTATGAAAAGAGAAAAACTAGTCTTTTAGAAGAACAACGTGATACAGCTGACGCATAATTGATTGACAGAGGTGAAAAGACGCACGAACGTGGGTCAAGCTTCCCGAATTAAGACAATTATCTGACGGTTTGTCAACACTTTATTTTATACTCGTTTCGAATGCCGCGTTTGATGTTAGTGTTTTGAATGGTTTTGAGATCAGATTGTTTAAATATCGGTCTGCTAAAAAACCAGTTTGCCATAATACTTAGAACCAGATATTATGTTCACCGTGCAAAGTTTCGTTACATGAAACTAATGCTAATAGATTTTCAAAACATAATTGGAATAGAGAACGTTTGCTGAGACAAGTGTAGTGCGGAACTAAAATGTTGTCCAAATATGACTGCTTAAAACCTTGTAGTTTTCCAGATATGACGGTTTGTAATTTTTTCAAAAAAATTTCATGAAATTAAAGTTTTTTTTTTCTTCAAAATTTGAAATTCCTAAGATGTAGTTGAAGGCTGTCCTAAGCTGTAGTTTGAAATTCCTAAGCTGTAATCTCAGTAGTTGCGAATTCGGCCTCCAATTAAGAATGCCCAAATCTTTTTAGTTTAAGAGATAAGATGATTTTTGTGATTTTTTTCGGAAATTTTCAGAAAACTCAAATTACAAAATAATTCACACAAGTGAAATCTCAACCCTGTATTTGCGTGCTGTCAGAGTACTGTCAAAGATTGCAAATTTTGTCTTCAAATGAAACTGCTCAAATCTTGGTAGTTTTCGAGGTATGACATTTTTTCTGGTTTTCAAAAAGGACCTTTTTTTATAGAAAACTTAAGGTTGAAGTTCCTCAAAATTTGAATTTCTCATTTCGACTGCTTTGCCGCGAACGTCCAAATGCATAAAAAAGAAAAAAATGCTTAAATGCGCTCGTCCAAATACCTTAAATGTGAAAAAATTTCCCAACGCGAATGTCCAAATGCGACTGCTTAATTGCTTGTAGTTTCCTAGATGTGACGTTTCTTAGTTCATTTTAAATTTTTTCAAAGAACTTATACAAAACCTCAAAAAATTTTATGGTTCTCCAAACTTTGTATGAAAAACTTGAATAAAAAACTTTGCAAAAGTTGTAAATACGAACCCTGTAATTGGGCGCTGTCAGAGTACACTTAAAGAATGCAGATATTATTTCCAATATGTGCGGTTTTTTATGAGTTGTTAGAAATTCGGAGTACCGGATGTGCGTTACTTACACGCTAGTTTGCGTGAAGAAATTGTGACACAAATATGGTCACGCTTACATATTTTAGTGAAGTTTAAATGCTTTAAAAAATTGAAATAGACTTTCATAACTTGAATTTGAGAAAAACTCAAATGGGAAATGGAAAAGAGCCGATATCGCTGATAATTTGGTAGAAGTTTTGATCTCAGATTTTCTGTACTCTCGTACGCATTTCGGAAAAAAGTTGCAGCTTAATGTTTTTAACAAAAAGTGGTGATTTCTGTATTTATCGGCGATTCGGTCCTCCAACCATGTGCGCTATATAGAGTCTGTGGTTGGTGGAATTTGAGAAAAACTCAAATGGGAAATGGAAAAGAGCCGATATCGCTGATAATTTGGTAGAAGTTTTGATCTCAGATTTTCTGTACTCTCGTACGCATTTCGGAAAAAAGTTGCAGCTTAATGTTTTTAACAAAAAGTGGGTGATTTCTGTATTTATCGGCGATTCGGTCCTCCAACCATGTGCGCTATATAGAGTCTGTGGTTGGTGGGTCTATTTGCAAATAAATGTATTGAGCAGGATAAAAAAACTGATTCCAGATGTGCCAGATTTTTTGTCAAACTAAAAATCATATTCGAATAGACGGTAATGCGTTTAAGACAATCGTTTTTTTTCTGCTTTTTACGAATCGATATGTTGTTCAGACTCATATAGAGGCCCTGATGATTTTTTTTCAGGAAAAGTCTTAGAATTAGTTCAAGCTCAAATTTACTTTTTCGCTGTTTCACTTTTGATTTCTGTTAAGTTCAGTTCATTTTCTTTGTCAAAAGGAACACAAACTCCACTATGGAACAGCAAAAGTTTAAAGTTCATGAAAAACGTGATTGACTTCTAGTTTCGAAAGTGGAATTCAATTATCAGATTTCCCAGCGAAATAAAAGTTTTACCTAGTGATCTAGTTTTCTCAAATTGGGTTATTTTTATCGAAAAATACCTTTTTTTATAGAAAAGTTAAGGTTGAAGTTTCTCAAAATTTGAATTTCTCAACTCGACTGCTTTGGCGCGAACGTCCAAATGCATAAACAAGAAAAAATGCTTAAATGCGCTCATCCAAATAGCTTAAACGTGAAAAAATTTCCCGACGCGAACGTCCAAATGCAACTGCTCAATTGCTTTTAGTTTCCCAGATGTGACGTCTCTTAGTTCATTTTAAATTTTTTCAAAGAATTTATATAAAACTTATATTTCAAAGAACTTATATAGTTTTCTCAAATTGGGTTAATTTTATCGAAAAAGTGTCAATCATAAATAGTTCTAATAATTCTAACAGGTTGAAGGCTATCTACTTTTTCTCGGAAAATTGAAAGTTTTCTGGTATAATTTAGGTTCCCTATACTTTCAACGATGTATTTATTTTGCATTCTAATATTGATCCAATATCTGAATGAAGTCTAATTTAATTACTATCCACTTCAACTATCTGTATTCTTTTAGTATAATTAAATGTTTTTGACTCTGTTTGATATACGAAATGCGAGTATTCGTTTATTTCTATTGAAGTTTAATAGTCTTTTGGTCAATTTTCGTTCCCACCTGAACTATAATTTCTAACCTAACTAGCAAAAAAAGTGTTCATTAAAAGTGTTACTTCGCCTTTTTGCTATGATCACTGTCTGTAGCAATGGAAATTTCGTAGCATCTTTCAATTCCTTATTTTTTGGCTAGTTTTTGTGATGGACGAAGCGTCCGTGGTTCGTGTGTGATACTCATAATTTCTAGGTCGTACGTTGAGTCCGAGGTCGCCGAATATTTACTAATTCGAGGCTTGTTTTAAATTTTTCTTATTGCACTTTTTAAAAATTTATAGAGCTGCTTTTTGCCGTGTTCTCGCTATTGTTTGCGAAGCGCAGCTTGGCATCTGCGTAAATTTTACATCGCTTCCATTAGGATCTCAGACATAATACTAAACCGCAAGCCCCGCAACAGCCTGGTTCAACTTTGCTGCATTTAATCCCCTCTCCTGAAGTCTCACCTCAGCCCTTTAAACTCAAGCAACCAGACCAATGTCTTGATTGCTTAAACTCTCCTTACGGCACCAATCACATCTTTTCGTGTTCCTAAAATCCCAATTTACCTGATAACTCACGTTCGGAAACTCATATTTCCTAGGTTGCAGTAGGTCGTAGGTTTGAGTCCGAGTCGTCGCCGAAGTTTTACTAATTCCAGGCTGGTTTTTTATGTTTTCTTATTGCACTTTTTTGAACTTTATAGAGCTGCTTTTGGTCGTGTTCTCACTAGCGTTTACGAAGCGCAGCTTCGCCTTTGTGTCAAAACATTGCTGCTCATCGACTTCGTTGAAGCAGTTCTAGCATCTTTCTTTTTCCACCTGTGAGTTTTTATTGGTAAATGTTTGTTCGCTTTTAATGAAACTTGTTGACTAATTATTACAATCCAAATTTTCGATTGAAGACTTTTTCAGGCCGCTGATCGAAACATTTTTGTTGTCCGACCTTAAAGACCACTTGTAACAGCGTTTAATTGAGGTATATGTGAGGTGGAGGAAAAAGAGCAATTGTTTACTTCGTTGTGTAGACGTTTGACAAGTTGCTGATGAATCCGAAGAACATGCAGGGAGAGTGGCCGAAGATAGTGTTGAATGACTTGGTGGCCAACTGCCACAAGATCAAGAACAACACAGATGTGGTTAGAGGACTCATGAAGGGGGAGACAGTGCTCTCTCTGCCCATACATGTGGACACTCTCAGTGAAGCCGCCAATGCTTCTGAAATGAGGTGAACACGCTTGTCTTTTTTACCTCCTACGTGAAGAGTAATGAACGTAGTGAAGACTCTTATACAGGTCTTGCAGATTTTTTTTTAGGAAAAGTCTCTAATAACTACAATGGGCATTCATACATATTAATGCATTTATGAATGCACTTAGGTATATATGCACTTTTTGTTTCAATTGAAATTCATCTGCTGAACGTGACGTAAATGGCACTCTCCAAATACGAACGTGGAAATGGCGCGAAAAAAAACATGAACGATTTCTAGTTTCGAAAGTGGAATTTAATTTTTAGATTTCTAGCTATACGATTTATCAAATTGGTGTCGGCAAATCTATATGATTTATCAAAAAACGAATCGAAAATTATAGTTTGGAACAATTGACAATTACAACTGTCTCGTACGAAATTTGGAAAAAGATAACGAGTGTTATATTAAAATATCCACTGAAACGCGTTGGCAACAGCGGCAACCTTGAATATTGTAATCAAGTATTCAAGATTGCCGATGTTGCCAACTACAGCCTGTTTTTTTAACAATCGACAATATTTAACAATCGATCTTTTGGGAGCTCTGGGATTAAGCTAACTATCCAGGCAGTCGGTTTTTCGGAGAAAAATGTTATGCAAAAGAAAAAGGTTTTGTCTGAGGCTTACTTCGACGTCAACAAAAAACACGCTTGAGAAATCGGCATTTGATTCAGTTGTCTGAGCAAATGGTATTTTTTTAGAAATTTTCAGACGGCAGTCGGCGGTCGTTCTTATCTGATGATAATTTGCATTCAGTTGTGATAACTTTGAGTTTTTGATTGAGTAAATAATCAACAACAATACAGCTCATTGAACAAAAGAGTTGAATAAGCTTATCTACCGTGAATGTTAGAAATTGGATTAGAAAGTCTGAATTATTTTTTCTCTTCAAAATACACGTGCACACGAAAACCATACGTGTCAGAATTAAAACTGCATTTGAGCCAGTTAAATGCTTCTTGCTGAAACTATTTATTTTGTGTTTGGCTGTTCAACTTATTTTAATTAAAAATCACGGCGTATCAAAATGCCTAAAGTTTCAAAGCTGGTCAGTCAGAAGTTGGAAAACTATTTCAACGATGTGCGGCTGGAGGAGTCGTTCGATACTTCGATCCCAAAACTGAAATCAGGAGCGGACAAGGATCTTATGGAGTTGAAGTACGAATACCTATTTGGCCATTTGGTAGGAGCAGAAAGAGAGAAGAGACGTGAATACCTTCGGAGATACAAGGAAAAACGAAGAAAAGACATGGAAAAACTGCTGAACAGTTTGGGAACAATAGAAGACGAAGAGGTGAACCAAAACCCAACGGAAGAAAAGAATCATGAGTCACAGGATACGACTGGAAATAAGGATGTCACTTTAGATATCAGTTTACCAAGCGATATTAATGATGACATTCGAGTTGAAAATGGAAGGGCGAAAACCAAAACAGATGGTGAACCAATAGGAACAAAGACTAAGTCGCACAACGACCGTGAATGTGACGCAAAAAGCACGAAATCGAAGCTCAAAGCACGAAAGTACGATGAAAAATCGTTTAAGTCAATGCAGTCAAGAAGATCTGCATTTATCGATGCAGGATCCAACGCAGCATACAGTCAGGCCTCAGAAAAGAAAATTCCAGTTACTAGAGGCAAAATTACTCCAAATTTATTAGACTTTCCAAGACGGAAAGTGATGTTTTCAGAAGCTGACAGGTTGGTAGGTTACGCCGATGAAGTATTCACACAATCCGAGTTGAAACAAATCGACCGTATCTATGGCTGTGGTGAAAACCATTACGGAGTTTTGCCCCCTATTGTGAATAACAAACAGGACATTAAGAAGAAAACACAAAATGGCGATATATTTGAGTCAGAGAACAAACAGAAACAAACCACTCGGAATCGACCCCGAACACATCGCAGATTCAGACTGGCATTGCATCAGGGGACAATTTTGAAAGCGCCGAAATTATGCCAAGACGTAGAGAGAATTCTGGCGTGGAGTGAATGCAGAAAGAAAGGAGACAGTGAAAGTGTTTCATCTGATTCGGAGAGTGAGTACAGAAGCGCAGTGGATCTGGAAGGGAACTTCAAAGAACCGATGCCGAAGGGCGCCGGAGACTGCAGCCACTTATCACTCCTGCTTGGAGTCCAGGACGAAGAGGAGGATTTGATATCGGAGAGGACGTCGAGTATAAGTTTGGGTCCGACAGGAGCGGCTATTATCGAGGTTGACCAACAGGTGGAGTTAGATAATGACGAGGTGTTTCCACCTCCCGAGTCGTACTCGTATATCAGTGGATCCCGAGCCAGTGTCAAGGAAAGTGAATATGAGCCAGACTTTTCCAGAGCATCGAATGCAGCTTCAGATGACGAAAAAGGCTCAGAAAAAGAAGGAACTGCTGAGAAAGATGGGCAAACCGACGAAAACGTGGGCGATGTCGTCTCAAGTTCGGCAACTGAAACAAAAAAGGAGTCATCGGAAAAAGAAAAAGATGGGGCTGAAACCGACTCACAAAGTTCTAAGTCCAGTTCAAACGACACAGTTATCGCTGAGAACGATGATCAGCAGAATATACATGGTTCTGTAAATGAGGCAAGGCAAACAGATGAAACTGGAAAGAATGCTGAAACAGTTTTGAATATGGACGAAAAAACTAAAAGTGGAGATTCTCTGGACATGCGCCAAGATTCGCCAATTTACGCCAGTGAGCGAGGGACTCCTTTTACTGTCGAAAGAAACGAGGCAGACATTGACACGCCGATTCATGATGATCAGTCAGAATCTAAGAAGTTGAGTAAACTTAGTCGAAAAGAGCGAGATGAGAGAAACCCGAACCTGTTCGGAAGCTCCACTACGACTACTAGTTCATCGAGCTCGCGGAGATCTTCAGAAGGAAAATCAGGAAGTGTTCCAGTTCGCGAAGAAGAGAAGGCTGGCCGAAGTTCAGATGATACTAAAGCGAATTTATTTGAAGCCATTAATCAAGATTTTTCCGAAGACGCGCAGCGAGAAAAACGCAATGAAGTTGATTGGGTAGATAATTCTAGAACCGAAAACGGACCTGAGAAAGAAGCGAAAGCAAACGAAAGCAACGACGATGAATATAAACTATCCGATAATATAAACAAAATGTTTAATACTGAAGAAAATGAAGATTGGGAGAACGAAATGAATTCTAATGTATTTAGCTATATCAAATAATCAATAATTCTTGGAGATAAAATTTTAGTAGCGGATATAGGGGGGAAATAATTCATTTTTGGTCAACTTACTCTATTTTTTTTTCTCAAAAATTCACATTCGGTTATATTTTTCACAAAGTATGGTGTTTTAGTTGAGATCAGAAAATTAATTCAGTCGCTTTGAAAAGTCCACAAAAATTTCTGAAAATCCGTGCACACCTTCCTATATCTGCGCCTGCTGAAAAACCTATATCCGCGCCTGTATGATTTAAATAACTGATATCACTTTTGAGTTATTTGGAATTAAGTAGAAGTTCGAAAGCAAATTTGGTTGCAAATTTTTCTCGCTCTAAATTAAAAAACAGTTTCACAAAAATGGGAGAACGAAAATTTTGGAATCAACTTTGAAAGCAATAGAAGTTTCTGGTAGTTTCCCCGGTGTCACTAAAGAAGAATTTATGAGCTCGATTTCAGTAATATATGCAATGACTCATAAAAAGATAGTTTGGGGATACATTCATACATTTCAACATTCATCTTCTGTTTAGGTATTCTATCTTTTATCAAATTATAGTTTTGATGTTTTCAGCTTAATTGATTGATTTCTATTCTTTGTTGAAATTGAAGAAAACTAGATAATTAAATTTTCCAGAATTTGGTTTTTAAATAAGCTCAGGATTTGAGAAAATATACAAAATGAGTCAAACCCTAATGAAGGTTTGATGAGGTAAATTCTGTCCAAGGCTTCAGTCTGTTTTTTTCAAAACTAAAAGAATCTTTAATATGTTTTTTTTGGTTGTTTAGTTGTATCGATACAAGTACGCTCTTCATTTAGGATAGTGGAGTTTGCGCAAAAGTTAAGTTCGTGAGTGACTTCTAGTTCTTAAAGTTGAATATAATTTTCAAAAATGGACTTGATGAGCCAGATTTCTCAGTTTGGGCTAATTTTCTCCTGAAAAGTGTCAATAATGAATGGTTCATGAAATTCAAAGAGCTTTGAGGGCATTTTTTTCTTTGAAACTCGAAACTTGATTAAGCGTCAATGAACGTAGTGAAGAATCTTTTGTAGGTCGTTCTGGTTTTTTTGTTTTTCTTTCACGAAAAGTATCTACTTGCTTGTGTCAAATTAGATCTTTTGCGGTTTGACTTCTCAATTTGTCAACGCTTGCGATTATCAAACGCTAGTAAATCGGAATATATATATTTCATGTTGACACCTCATTTAACGAATTAACTTGAATCATTCTTTAGCTAAATTTTATATTAAATTCAAATTCCTTAGCTCAAGCCTAGATGTAACGAACCTGCATACGACGGCATAGATAACAGGTTCGTATCTGCTCAGGACCTGTTTTTTTAAACTGAAAATTTCCTATTTCAGAAAATTGTCGGCCGTTTTTTGTACTGCAGGTAATTTCATTGATGTATTTTTTCGCTTTTTGTGTATTTTGTAATTTTTTGCCGTTTGAAGGTGAAAAACGTGATCAATTTCTAATTTCTAAAATTGAATTAATTATCAGATTTCTCAGCGAAGTAAAAACTTGATCTAATGATTCAAGTTTCTTAATTTGGGTAATTTTTATCAAAAGAGCGCACATCATAAATTGTTCGTGAAAATCAAAAAGGTTTATGGGCGTCTTTTTTTCTTTAAATTTGGAAAGTTAATTTTTTCAAAAAACAATTCAGAATGGTTTTTTGTTTCCTTGCATTCATAAATGTTTTCCCAATATCAGTGGGCAATTTTGAGTCGTTTCAACGAAAATATGTTTTTATGCTCATCTTTGGATCCCGAAAATGCTAAAAATCTAAATGCTAAAATCTTGAAAATTTCCAATGCTCAAGAATTTTAGGCTTTGTCACCGCCTTATGAGTTATGTATCGATGCTTATTTAACTTTCAAACTTCTCAGTTCTTGAAATTTTTTATGAAAGGAATTTTTTGTTCAAGACAAGTCAAGCCAAATTTTGGAAACTTTTTGGCAGATCAATTTTTTCGATATTTTTTCTTCGGCTTTTATCTCTTTTTGTCGGATAGGTTGTTGGCTATGTATGGATTTATTGCATGTAGTGCGATGCTTTACTTCGCCTCTCTTTGTAAATTTTTAAAGGTGCTGTTTTTCAGTTCCAAGATTTCCAATGATTTTCAAAATTGTAAATTGACAGTAATGAACGTTGTGAGTACTCTATAGGTCTTGATTTTTTTGGTTTTTTCTTCAAGAAATTGTCTTAAAATTTGGTCACGCTCAGTTTTAATTTTTTGCCGTTTGAAGGTGAAAAACGTGATCAATTTCTAATTTCTAAAATTGAATTAATTATCAGATTTCTCAGCGAAGTAAAAACTTGATCTAATGATTCAAGTTTCTTAATTTGGGTAATTTTTATCAAAAGAGCGCACATCATAAATTGTTCGTGAAAATCAAAAAGGTTTACGTGCGTCTTTTTTTCTTTAAATTTTGAAAGTTAATTTTTTGAAAAAACAAGTCAGAATGATTTTTGTGTTTCCTTGCGTTGATAAATGTTTTCCCAATATCAGTGGGCAATTTTGAGTCGTTTCAACGGAAACATGTTTTTATGCTCATCTTTGGATCGCGAAAAATGCTAAAAATCTCAATACCCTTGTAGTTGAAAAGTTTTTCATGACAACATTTTTCCGGCTTTTTTCCCTTTTTAATCGGCTTGATAGGTTTCTGCCTATTTTATAGCAGCTTATTGGCCTCATATTGCGTCTGTTAACGAGCGAAAAAATGTTTTGTAGGTGTATGTCTGTGTTTCAAGGTTGAGGGGTACTTAATAATTTCGTTTAAGTCTTGAATTTTTAAAAAAATTTTTGGCTTTATTTTTTTGGGCCAAATAGTTTTCGGCCTATATTATATCGGCTGAGTCGCCTCATATTGTTTGATTTGACGAGGAAATAGAGTTTTTTGAGAGTTTTTGTGTTACGAGGGTGAGGTGGACTCATTAACCTTTTAGAAGTCTAAAGTCCTGTTGATTTTTTTTCGGCGTTAAGGGTTTCTGACAAGGTATGTTCGGCTTTGTGACCGCTGGGTTCTAGAAATTCATAGAGATTTAAGGCCATCTGTTTTTTTCTTCGAAATTAAAAGTTGAATGTTTTCGAAAAAACAAGTACGTTTTTTCTATTGCGTTCTGTCAGTTGGCTGTTTTTTTTTGAGATTTATCGATTTTTTTTGTTCAATTTGTAGGTTTATCTGCAAGTAATGAGAGTCATTCCTTTTTTGTCGTAACAGGTGTGTATCTCTGCTTCGCATCTGTGTGAATATTGTTTTCAATTTTTATATTTTTAAAAAATGGATTTAAGTTTCGGTTTTCCGACGGAATGAAAAAGTTATCTGTTGATTCAGCTTCCTCAACTAGGGTTTGTTTTAGGGAAATGCGAGATTTAAGACGATATTTTTTGTCCTAAGAGGGGTGAGAAAGAATTATGGCGCAGTTATTTTCCCCGATTTTGACTCAAAGAACGCTCGACGAATCAGCCCTTTTCGTGATTCAGATTTCGAACGAAAATTTTGAAATGGTTCTCTTAGTGCCGAGAAAAATGATATCAATATTTTAGTTTTTCAGACAATGGGAGTTTCCGATTGAGTTTCTAATTTAGTTTTTCTTGACATTTTAAAATATTTTTGGCTATTTTATCTGGTTCCTATGGCTTATAGACCAATTCAGTCTCCTATCGCTAAAGAAACTAAAGAAGTTTTTTGTTTTTTCAATTTTTTCTTTGTTTCAGTTCTCATTATAAAACGTCGCGTGGTCGAAAAATTCTGTGCTACTTGAGCCTGCTGTCCTTGTTTTTCTTTGAAAAAGCTTCTAAATTGCTCGGTTGTTTTTTTTGTTTTTTTTTTTGAGTTCATTGACACTTTTGCAATTGTCTGGTGGCATAAAATTTCTCAAGTAGATTTTGAGAAATCTAAGAAATAAATATTTATTTTTGTGTATCCATAAAGTACGTAACCGACCTAAAATTCAAAAGATCCGATAATAAAATTCGCCGATGATATAATTTTCAACAGGCTTAACATCCAGTGGAATAATTGTGCACTTCATTTAGTTATTCCAAGTCCAATATTAGTCAATTTGTTTCAAGTCAAATGTAAGCTTCTGCTGGTGACATAAATTTATGTAGTAATTTTTTGTATATATTTTTGATATAATTTTTAAACTTAAGAGATCATTTGTTTCTTGCCATTTTGACAGCTGATTTAATAAAAAAAAATGAAGTGTCTTGCTCAACTGCAAACCGCAATCAATTTTAAAAAATTTAAAGAAATAAATAAATATCATGTGAAATATGTGTGTATAGAGACATTGACCAGAGAGTGATCTATGCGATTGAGACGATAGTGATCGACTGGGCGAAGCAGGTGCACAAAGTGCTCAAGTTGGACAGTGGCACTCCTCTTTTGAAGGAGAAGAACAGTCCAAACCCTCTGGTCGAGATCAAGTTCTGGAAGACAAAGTCGGTTAAACTGCGGAACATCTACAAACAGGTATTATGCTTCTGTTTACATAGGGCACATAAAATCCAAGTCTGAAAAAATAAATTACATATATATTTTAAACTCAAGTATGAAATAAAGTTTAAGAAAAACAATATGCAATTGTATTTCTTGTCTCCCTCTGAAACTTTTTCTTCGTTGATTATTTATTAAAGCCGACTGTGTTGATCGTTTTTAAAGAGATGGATTTTGACAGAATTTAAGTTTATATGTATGTTCTTTTTTAGAAAATGTATTTTAAAATTTGATTTTTCTGATAATTCTCTATGCTGGTTTCCATGGTACTTCTGCTTGGTTATCTTTTTCCCGTTATTCAACTTACTCGCTTGTTTTGTTTTAGATAACTGATATGCGCGTGTCAAAAATCACAACAATTCTCACTAAAATCAACAGCTGCTACCTGCCTTCATTTCGCCAGCTGTTTGTTGACTTGTGTGCCGGTTAGTTGTTCTTCGGGTCAAAAAACGTAAGGTCAAACTTCTGGAAAAAAAACTCCCAGGTGTCTTTTAGCCTGATACTTGATTTTACGTCCTCCCTACGTCCACCCTCTGATTTTATAAGTCGAAGAACTCTCGCTACCAACCATAGAGATTGTTCTAGTTGTCACCCCCTACCTGATAATTGATTTTCTTTTCAACACAACGAGAAAACCCCTCCTATTTTTGCCCCCTATTTTCCGCTAAGTCAGTACCTAAGAGTACTTGGGTGTTCAGGTCTTACAGTCTGCTAAAAAAAAGCTTGTAAGCATATATTTGGCTTTCAAAAAATTACCATTCAAAAATTGCCTTCAAAAAATTACCCGAATAAACGGAAGTTTATAACTGCCTATTCATTAAGTATTCATTCTGTATAATCAGAATTTGAATTTTTTGTTCCGACCATTGAAAATGGGGAGGAATTTTGTATTGGGGTGTATTTTAGTGTTTTCTTTTTATTTTCCACGCAAAATCAGCTACCACAAATAATCATCGGACTGGGTTAAGTGATATATCATATTAAAGCTCTTTTAGTCGTGATTTGAGTGTCGAGAAAAACCGGTTTGAAGTTTTTGGTTTTTTGTCTAATTTCGAGAGAGTGAGCAGGCTTACAATAGCTTATTTATGCTTAATTTAAGCCTTTAGATTTTATTTTTACTCACATGAAGTTAGTTTTTGTAGTTTTTAGCTTCATCTTAGGAATCAAAAACTTCAAAAATTTGGAAACAATTTTGAAAAATTAAAAATTATATTTTGTTATTTGTCTTTAAACAAGCTAAGCATAGTTGTCTTTAAACAATTATACGAAAAAAATGAACTTTTTTTTTCGTATACTAATTGAATGCGCCCCCTCTATAAATATAGGCATGTTAGTTGGTAAATTTTTTTTTTTTTAAATTGACTGCTAATGGGTCATAATTGGCTTGCGTCACTTAGCAATGCAATTATGTAGATTCAAAACTGGCGTGCGTCACCTCAGAAATTTTGTAGTACTCATTCAGTTTTTCCCAGTAGCGTTATGGGTCATATTTTTGCTGGTGTATGCAAAGTGTCAAAAGTTGTTTTCTATATTGCATTTTTTTTAATGACTGACGAAAATGCTTAAGTTTTACTTTTTCGCTCAGATTCTTTTATCACACCACGCCGAAAAAACGACACTAATTTGAAAAACGATTTTGTTTTAATTTTTTAAGACTGGTCGGAACATTCTGTGCTGCTTGCACAGTAACCGGCTATCCTTGTCCATTTTTAAATTTAGACGGGACTGCTTTATCCTTATCAAAGTTCAGATAGCCGATCGTGAAAACACGGTTTACGGAAAGTAAGCAGGGTGATTAGCTTTCTATGCCGAAAAATCTGTAGCTGTTTATGATACGTAATTACACTTTCGAAGCAAAGTGTATTAGCGCGATTATTTTTTCAACCTAAGTCGCAAATACTAGTGCCAGTTTTGGAGCACCACAGCTTTTTGATAGCATGTGCTTTGGCATTTGATTAGTAAAAAGTTAACACAGCTGATGCATTTTAATTCATCAAATGAACCGAAATAAGTTATTTGTTTCAAAAGCAGTACTATGATAAAAAGCTCGATTTCGGAATATTTCCAGCTCAAAGTATCTCGCAATTTTTTGAAGTGCATAATTTATTCATAATTTGGCTTTGTTTTCCAATTTATTACATGCAAAGTTGTGTCTTTTTGTATTTGGTGCTACTTTTGGTGCATCGAATTGGCAATTTATTAGCATATGTAGCTGCGTTATTGGTGGCTCGATTATGGGCATTTGAAGCATCCGTGACTGAGTGGTTAGTGCGTGAAACTAAATTTGCTAGGTCGCAGACTCGAATTCGACACGTTTGAGTTTTTGCTATTTCGAGGCTTATTTCTACTTTTTCTTATTTCACTTGATAGAGCTGCTTTTCGGCCGCGTTCTCGCAAGTGTTTGCGAAGCGCAGCTTCGCGTCTGTGTATAAAATATTACCAAACCATTCTTGTCCAAAAAATATATATGCCCTAATTTTGATAAATTTTGTTTTCCGTTGCATGAATGGGTATTACGTAGTTAAAATCTTTGCTCGACCGAAACGAAAACTCAAGAATTAAATTGTAATGAGGAACTAAAATGCACATGTCAAGAAATATTTTCGTAATAGTGCGCCACGGTTGATTTGCTTATAGGTCTGAAACAGGCAGAGTCGATAGTGAGACACCTGACTCCTTTGGAGGACCTGGTGGAGCAGTTCCTGGCGTGTGATGCGACCGAGTTCAGTGGTCAGATGGAGGCGATGTTGCACCAGACAGCCGTGATCTGGTTCAAGTGTCCCTACTACAGACCGCCCTCCCGCATCATAGTGTTGCTGCAAGAAGTCTGCAATGTTGTCGCTGAAGTGGTATGGCATGTTGAATTACTCATTGCGATAGGCTAATTTATTTTTTTTGTTAGTTGGCAGTTCTGTAATGTAGAGTTCTTCTAGATCCAAGCAATAACAATTCAAGATGATGCTTGTCTTGTTATAAAGACATGCATCCTTTTGTAATGTTTTTGTTTGGATCAGGCAGGATGCACAGTAACAGCGAATGACAAAATTAAATTAGCCAATCAAAAGTAAGATATTTCAGTCCAACAAAAGTGGAAAGAAAAAAGAGCAATCAGTCGCGCTCTAACCGATTTAAGGTGTCTTTTTTTGTTTATTGACATGTATCTGTTGTCGTTGTCAGTGGAATTTCCCCTTTGAATTTGTTTTACAATCCGGTCTGTCTGCTTTGAGTTGTACATCCCGAAATGTACATATAGGTTCTTGGTTTGTGCTAGGCCCCATATACAATCTTCTTTATTATTAAAATTAAAAGTTGTATATGGGGCGGTGTACCATTTGAGAAATTAAAATCTCTGCTAATCGCTAATTGCTAGTGTTGGTAGCATTTTTGGTTCATTTTAATAAATGTGCAATCTTTGATCTTTTCAGATCGTTGGTCTGCATAGCAATATGTGTCTTATCTGATGTTTTTGATATTTTGTTTTGAATCGCAAAACCATTATTTTTTCTGAACACATTTGCAGTTTTTTTTTCTGTTCAATACCCCTGCTTTGCACACAATCACCGGCAATTTGCGATATTGTTATTAATCAAAATAAGTCATTGCAAGATCTTCTAGCGGTAATCGAATAAAACATGCTGCTTCGTTTTTTTTTTCAAACTGCTCCTTATTGCCTTATATGCTCTTCATTGAAGTGGAAAACAAACAAAGAGTTTAGCTCGGCATATGTTCTATATTGATTTTTCAGCCTCACCTATCAGGAAATGAAATGGAAAAGGCAAGCAGCTTTTGTCGATAGCTTTTTACGTCAATTCAATACCTCTGCGAAATCAATTTGGATGGGAGCAATTTATACGATTGAGGACGTTTGTGCTGCTTGCCAGTTAAATTGTTCTCAATTTTCATGCTCTAGGCAATGAACTATTATTTTCAAATCAGCTGAAAAGATGCTATTATTTTCCATTTTTTTTAACTAAGGAAGACTTCAGGTAAATTAATTTGATTTAGCGATCTTGTTCTTCTGACCATCTAGAAAAAAGTAAATTTGAAATTGGGTTATTTTTCACAGAAATCAAAAGTTGGGATTGTTTTCACTTTGAATAAAGGCCCCTTGAAAATTAATTCTTAAAGCGAAAGCACTGAAATAAAAGTAATCATGAAACTGCAAGCTGGTAGTACTTTTCTGCTTGTAGCGGAATCCCTTCTGACAATACTGCTTCATTAGTGTGCTATCGAACCCATGACTATAAAAGGTATCAACAATCAATCTGAATACAAGGGGGAAAATGGCAACATAATGATAGTACTCCAGGAATAGTAGTAGCAAAAAGCAAACCGTAATTTTCAACTTAAGGTGATACGAAAATTATTGCAGTGATGGACAAGGATTCCAAGAATTAACGTAGAAGACAAAGCAAGTCAAAACCATTCTTTTACATTAAAGCATGATCTATTTGAAAACCTTCAATTTATTAAATGAGCTCAGAAGATTTTGCGAGCAAAGCGAGCTTCCTTCTCTGCTCTGCTAGTATACTACAATAATCAAGTGTCAATGCAAGAGTTTTAGATTATTTAGGTTGTTTTCTTCTTTTTTTTCACGAAAAAATCATGCCCAATTTTCTGTTTTAAAGGTTTGTTTTTGATTTCTTTCAAGCTCAAAGTAAAATCAATGGCTGTATGCGAGGCGAATTACAAACATACAAAGAAACGAAACTGAAGCAATTAAGTACTGGATTTATTTAATTCTCAAAAGTGGATTTTAATTTAACAGCGGAATAGAAAAAATAGTGTATCCAATTTTTCATCGTTGGCAAACTTCACAAAATAATAACCAAACTCAAAAATGATGCGAATTTATGTTAGTTTTTAGTTGCATCCCAAATAGTGTCGGTCATAAGGGATTCTTGAAAATTAAAGAGCGATAATTCTTCCTTTTCTTTTTTGAAATTCGTTGTTTTCCTGAGTTCAGTATTACTTTCGGACTTAAGTTCAGATTTTTAAATCCTCCTACGAAGTCGTGTATTTTTTTTAAATAAAAAGTTCTTTAAGCCGTGATTTGGGTTCCAAAAATATCAAAAACTGTCTCAGCGTCGGAGAAAACGATACCTGAGTTGAGTTAGAATTTTTCTTGCTATTCAAAATTGACCAAATTTTTTAAAGTATAACAATTTTTTTTTGTAACGGCCAGAACATTTGTGCTTTCCGAACAGCAACCGGGCCTCCCTTGTGTTTGAAAGTGTTTTATTTTGTGTGTTGTTTTTTAGAGTCGTGGCTTCCTGGACATCAGTTCCCTGTTCACTTCTCCCGAAGTGGACGAGAGTCTGGCGAATGTGAGCAAAGTGGTAGACCAGCTGGAGTACTTCAAACTCATATACGACGAGTACAGGTACGCATATTCTACTGCTCACTCTGTAAACTATAGTCAGCCAAACAGAAAGTACTCTGTTAGGTAGGAGTGTAGTTATTTTTGATAGAAAATTTACAGAGCGTCAAGTGCGGGCCCTCCCGGAGCTTACAATGGGATAGAGTTGAAATGGGCTAACGACTAAAATCATCGTCTTTGATGTACTTTTATTTCAATAGTTTGGAACCCCTTCCGTCGTGAGAAAACTGCTTATTGAGGAACTCTTCTTAGTAAATTTTAACATTACATTTGATGAATAATGATTTTTTTTCTGTTTAGAGAAGTCTATATTCCGGAGATGACAGCGCTAGCAGGTAAGGAGAGGAAGATGTCTTTAATCTCAGTCAGGAGTGGAGCAAAGGCCACTAACAACTGGGACTTCGCCAGTCATCTGGTGTTTGCAAAATACGACACCTACATTGCACGAGTGCAACAAGTCAAGGTACTTCACTTGACAATCATGAACATAGATAAATAATTTTATGACAATTCTTTACGTGTTAAATGACTGAATTTATTAGTTTTATCAATCTAGTTTATGATTAGTTGAATTCAACATCGTATTTTATTTTTTTTTCCACAATTTAGCGTGCAAAAATAATCATAGACTCAACTAAAAAAAAATCGACCGTAAGTGACTTAATTTGAATGAAAGAAATTGGTGGATAAAAAGCATTTTTGATGAAGATGTTGGTATCTATGTGACTTTTATTTCAGCTGCTGTTCGAGATTGCCAATGACTTCCAGAGGTTGGAGAAGCTAGAAGCGTGTGGGACCAACGGGAGGGTTCTGAGTGCCCAGATCGAGAGTGTCTACGAGGACTTCCAGGAGGCATTCAAGATATTCTCAGAGAACAACTCCTACGATCCTCTCGACACCACTGGAGAGGTAAGATCAGTGTGATCAAATGTTTGCTCGAAAAGTAAAAGTTTTTTTTAAAGTTGGTTTTGTGGTAACTTTCCATCTTCAAGATACTTTTCGCCTTCGTCAACCAAGGGTCACCCGTTGAAACTTTTTAAAGGCGCATTCCATAATCGTATTTTATAGTGGTAAAGCGTCCAAGGAAAGCCCTTTGATAATGTTCTAAGACATTCTTTCATCGCTGATTGAACCCTGAAATTTTAGAAACGCGCTTTCTAGCAGGGTTGCAATCTTTAAAACAGAGGTTGTGTAAAACATGTTTTAAACGTTTAAAACACTGTTTAAAACATCACGAGTTTCAGCGTTTCAAAGTTTCTAGAAATGTACATTATAGTGTCAAAAAGTCCAAGATTTTGACAAAATTAAGTTCACTTTTGGAAAGCACTTTTAGACAATTTCAAGGTTCAATCAGTTAAAAGCGCGGGATTCAAAAAATCAAAGGAAAGTTCAACTGCAAGTTCACTTTTTTTATTACATATGCGCGCGTAGTATTATATTACGAACCAGTTTTTTGCCTACTTAGCTTGCGAATGAAAGTGCTCATTTGGTGTTGCGTATGAAAATGCGTATTTTTAGTATGTTTCCAGTCATTGGCAATTAAATTTTACTGATATAGGTCTTAATTTTTTGTTTTGTTTTTAAGTTCACTTCAAGTGTTAAGTGAAGGCAAACGCCATTATCAAACAGCAAAAGTGAAAAGGCCACGAAAAACCTGAATTACTTCTACTTTCAACAATGGAATTTGTTTTCCTGATTTACCAGCGAAAAAGTAATTTAGTAAAAATTTAGTTTAATTTCAAATAATGTACTTTTTTAACTAAATTTTTTTCGAATATTTTTTTTTCGAAATGTTCAAAAATTTTAAATTTCAATCAACATTTTTTTCGGTGTTCTTGTTTTTTTACCTTCATCCATTTGACTGCTAGTTATGATAGTATAATTCCAAGCGACTGTTGTGGGAAGCTAGGATATGAAACTCCTGATCTCGAGGCCGGAGGTTCGATTCCGTCACATAGTATTATTGTTTACTTTTATTCGGCTTTTATGCTACATAGTATTGTCAATTTGATAGCAACTTCAGATGTTTTATTAGTAGCTAGGTTATTAAGTTTGCAAGCTACCGTGGCTCAGATACGAGGGCGTTAGACTCCTAATTTCCTGGTCGAATTTTCGATTATTCTTACGTTTTCTTTTTTTTGCCTCTTTTGAGCTGCGTTTTACCGTCTTATTTTTTGTGTTTGTGACGTGCAGCTTCGCTTCTCAGTTGAATTATAGTTTTTCTGATTTTATTTATTGGAAAAAAAGTAAAGAATTTCTGCACTGATAACAAAGCGTATATTTGATGTTCATTACGTATATTTGATGTTCATAGTAAACTAGGAATATTCGACAACTGTTTTGTTCAAACATTGAATAGAAAAACAAAATTCTATATTTTTCGAAGTTGTTCAATTGTTTTGTATCAATTTTTTTTTTGTGTTTTTGAAACGTTTTCCCTGGAAGGCGCCGGAAAAATATCAAAAACTAAGCAAGTGCAAAAAGTGGAATTCGCTTCATTACTTCTCCACGTAAAGTGACCGGTACTGCACGCTAGTTTTGAATAATTTGAGAGCTCTTGATTCTTAAAGTGAATATTTTATACAATCAACGCATAAACTGTCGTTCTGTCATTTCTTTTGGTTTTAGGAGTTTGAGAAAGACTTGGACAAGTTTGACGAACTAATGGAGGACCTGGACAGTCGGCTAGCGTCCATTGCGTGTGGAGCATTCGAGAATTGCAGCTCCGTCGAAGCTCGTTTCAAGGTACGCAATTCTGGTCATATATAGTTTCGTTTGTGACAGTAGTGACTGAGTCAATTGGTCAAATATAAATAATCATGATTTTTTTTCGGTCTAATGAAAGTCCTAGACGTAACAAATTTAATTTTACATCGTTGAAATATGGTCGCTCTTCATGAAGTTAGACAACTATTTTTCCATAATGAGCTTAACCGATATTAAGAATGCATATAACGAACAAGGATAGCCGGTTACTGTGCAAGTTTGCACAGAATATTCCGACCATAGTTTCAAAAAAATACAAAAAATTGGTGCCGTATGTTTTTGCGTGGTTTTATAAAATGAAGCTGAACAAAAAAACTAGAGATTAGGCAGTCATAATAAAATAAACAAAAAGCTTTTGTAAGCCTGCTCGCTCGTTTTATTCGCCCGTCTTAATTAATTTTTTAATGTCGTTCGAATCACGACTGTTAAGTGCTTAAGTATGATATATCACTCTACTCTCTCCGATGAATATTTTTAGTAGCTGATTTTGCGTGGAAAAAAAACTAAAATACACGAATACAAAATTCCTCCCCATTTTTCAAATGATCCGAACAATGACTCACTTCAGATGATCGACAGTTTCGGGAGTCTACTGGATCGAAAACTGGTTCTGGAAGTGTTCAGTCCACTCTACATTGATCTGGTCAATATGTACAGCGCTGAGCTAGATTCAGGTTTGTCAAGAACTGATAGAATTTATGTTAGACCTAAATAAAAAAATATATATATATTTGGTACATAGACAAGAGGTTGACAATAAAATTCGAAAGCTGAAGTTTTTTCTAACAAGTCTCTGTTTTTCGGTCTCCTTGCGTTCTTTGACACTTTTCTAACTGTCTGTTGGCTGTTTGGTTAAGAAAAACTGTTTCACAATATGGGAGTTTTTTTTTGTTTGTGCAGCGAAGAAGATCTTTGACGAGAAGATCAAGAGCAGGAAGCGCAGTAGTCTGCACAAGAGAGAGTCCACTCTGATGCAGTGCAAGATCCACAAGAACCTGCCCTTCCTCAGTGGCAGGGTCAAGTGGCTCAAAGAACTGGAGTACAGGGTGAAGAAGCCATACGAGGAGTTCCTCAACACAACAACCGCGTACGTTTTCTACTTAACTTTTGATTAGATTTGTTCAATCAAGTTATGATCAATAAATTTATGACTGGAACAATAAATAATGAACAATAGATAATCCGTTTCGCAGAGAATCGATCGGTTGGTCAGCTTTCTAAGACTAGTCTGTTTTTGTGTTATTTCTCCAGATGCTTGATTGAGTTATTTTGTTAAGCGAGGGTATTTTTTTGTCTGGAATATTTACGTGGTATTACTTTTGCAGCAGAAATCGGTCAGACTATCAAACTTTGTGAATAATCATTCCTGTATAGTTACTTGATTAAAAAAAGATGTGATTGAATAAACGGTCGAAACTAGACAATTGAATGGCCTAGATATCCGGCATGTGCCATCCAGACTTTTTTGCTATGGAGGTTTTTCGCAATGTTAGCTAATGTTCTCAAATAGCAACATTACTTTCAAGTTTTCATTAAAAAATAGGACAGTAAAACAGATCTGGCGACCATCTGGTTCAACCGTTTGATCTTTTCACTCGCGATTTTTTAGCTGGCAATTGAATGCCGAAAATGATTATTGGAATTGTGCATCTTAAGATTTCGTTTCGCTTGAGTGAAATGGTTTCAATATTTTAGAGGAAGGAGGGGTTTGGAAGTGTGAGTTACTCTAGAATGTGTAAACTGTCTATCGTCTTAAATGTAACTTTTTCTCTCTTATAAAGAATAATTCCTGTTTTTTTTTCAGGGCTATGCAAACGGATGACGCGGAAGACATGAAGCTAAAATATGAAGAAATGTGTGCACTCATTGCAAAGTAAGAGCTTTATTAGAATAAATTTAATCTTATTGTGTTATTTTCGAGGAAAAATTTTCGTTTCCTGTATTTATGCAAATAGTTAATGAAGAAATCTTTTGGTCACTCTTCATGTGCAGTCATTTGTAGTCAAATCTGGGAACTCTCTCAAATTTAAACAACCGACGAAAATTTCAAACGAAATTGAATGATTTAATAAATGGAACCCATTCCAAATTGATGTTTTCAGTGCAGCTTGATTTTGATGTTGACTGACACACATCTTGTTCTTCTGTGCTCAATTTTCTATGTGTTTCTAGGAGTGAAGAGCGAGTGTTTGAAACGTGGTGCAAACAAGTGGACAAGAAGGCGGACTTCAACCTGGACAAGACCCTGATCAACCGAGTGTCCATGTGGGACATAGAGTGCAACTTCGACCCAGAACTGCTGGCCATACTTAGGAATGTCAAGTTCATGGACCAGATGAACCAGAAGGACATTCTCCCAGCCAAGGCCAAAGAGTTGTTCGATAAGTTCGACACTTATCTGAACTACACGCAGAATCTGGGACTCATGACTGACTGGTGAGAAATTGCGCACTATCTGAATGTTTCTTGAGGAGAAATAGGCAACAAACTTTTTTGAAAATTCCAAAAAAATTCGCAAAAAAAAAGTTTTTTTTTGTTATTCATTTTTCGAAAATATAACTGTTGTCGATTGTGCTTATTTCCTTATCGTTCTTAGCGGTTATAGCGTTCTCTCATTACCCGATGCTTAACCAAACGATACTACTTTTTCATGAACGTAGTGAGTACTCTTATAAAGGTGTTGGTGATTTTTTTTCAGGATTTTTTTTTGGTTTTTGCGGTATAGTTAGTACCAAAACTTTTTAGGTATACGTGGGGCCAGAAGCAACTTATTATTATTATATATATAATGGTAACTTGTTCGTGTTTGGTATGTAAGCGTGGGTGGTTTTCACAGGTACAAGAAGATTCTGCAGACTGCGAACAAGTGGGAGTATGATTTGATGGAGGCGGAGTTGGATGAGATAGACGACGTGTTGCAGGAGGGCGAGAACACTCTCACTTGGAAACACTCAGAAGGTCAGCTCATATAAGTAGAGAGCAACATAATAAGTCAGATGATCAGATGAGTAGAGTGATAGATAAGCAGACAAGTAAGTGATAGTCTCTTTTAGCGATAGAAGCTGACAAGTTGTAATCAAACGCTTCAATTGTGTAGTAGAAAGTTACCTCTGAAGGAGATATAGTTAAACGTGTACGGGGCTTGCTTGTCTGAGATCGGCGTAGCGTCCAAGATCTCAAATGGATTTTTTTTTAAATATTGATTTTTGTTAAATTTTATATCTGCAGTTTTATGTACGACTATTTTCATAGCATTTATTTTCCTGGCAATAGGGAAAGTTTTACATTCCGCTGTTGTGTTGCAGAAGTATGGCCTTACATAGAGAAGATCAAAGGAAAAGTGCGGGACTTGGAATCGAGGCATCAGAAGGCAAAGGACAATCTGCTCCAGATAGAACAGCTCGGAGACACCTGGAAGGTCAGTCCTTTTTTACAATTAGTAACTCAATATGATAGCTGATTCGGTTAATTTCAATTCTAATTTATGTGTAATCAAAATCCGATGATATATCAATAAAAATGATCAACTTGATTGTATCTTACGGGAGAAGTTCAACAAATTGAGAATGTTTTTTTTTGAGAAAGCGTTCGAGCCTCGGGACGAAACGTTGCTCTTCGGTAGGCTTTTTTTTGATGAAAATGATTTATTTATTGTGTGACATTTCATTATTAATTGAACCTGATTTTTTTTTTGTTATGAAAGTTGTTGAGCTTTGTATAACTGTAGGTTCCATTGTTCGACCGCAAGGACGGCAAGAGTGAGAATTTACTGGACTTGGACAGCAAGGCAGACAGGGTGCAGAAGAGATATGCTCAGATTGAAGTGAATGGAGAGAGCATCTTGCAGCTGATTGAGGTAAGGGCGTTCGAATCTTGGTGTTGCCAATTTTGTCATTTGTTTGCGAAAAAATTTTACTGATTTTTTCAATTCTGATGCATCTCAAGAACTTTTCTGCTGTCCTGGTCGCGATATGTAGTTGAAGAGTGAAAAAAAGAATAGATTCGAAGGATGCTCTCAAGTTGAATTCCAGCCTAAAAACTCTCCTAGTGGCAAATGCAGCTATTAAGTATATCATCTGCGATTCGCAGTATGAAAAATGATCAAATAAAACTCTTTGATAGATTTTCGGAGAAGTGGAACAGTTGGTATCTATGGCAGAGGAAATATACAATTGTTATGAATAAGAATATATTGGAAATAACATTAGTTTTGTATGCATTGTTTTTGTGTCGTTTCAACAGGACAGTAGAAAGCAGTTTAATGGGGATGCGAAGTCGGTGGAGTGGCTGAACTATCTGGACATGGTGGACAACACAGTGGCTATCAAGTTCAAGGACGCAGTCGAAGAGTCCTACAAGTTCCTCATCGAGAACACCGGTACACACTACCAATACGTACCTATATCCTAGTCTAAACAAAAAGGAGGTTGATATATACAGCAAATTACAATAAGTAATTTAAGTTCGGATGGTAATTGGTCTACGAGATTCCTTGACTTATAAAGAAAAACTACTTCATGAGTTGCTGTTGGCTTTTTTGATTGAAATAAAATAAGATTCAATCCTACATCGGATTCAATTGCTGAGAATTCACTAGGGGGAATCCCTCGTCAACGTCCTTTAAAGTGTACAAGACTGAGGGTTTCCTACTGTATTTCGAATAGTTGTTTTCGTGTGGCTAGAGGAATTCCCCCTGAAGAGATTGTCAGCTATTGGCTCCGATGCAAGAATGACTCCTAGCTCAATCCGATGCAACATGAAAATCATCATGAGAAACTTGTCTTTTTAGATCCAGATGCAGTTATCAGTCCGTTATTTGAAGTGAAACTCTTCGTACCTTCTAAATCTAAAATGAACGACACTCATCAGGACTCGCAGATACGACATGGGCTGATGTACTTCGAACCATCACTTGAGGTATTGTGTGTGGACGAGACATCTCTAGAAGGATCCTTCGCCCGCCTGATGTATGACATCATTGAGGATATTCTGAACATGGCTACTCTTCTGAAGAGGATATCCCAGACCACAGATAGTTCCGACTACAGGGAGACTATGATGGATTTCCTGGAAACGGAGCAGCTGCGCATGGATTTGATTGAAAGACTCCCTGGTCAGTTTTCTATTTAGTATACAATTAAAGGTGGCTATTTAGGGAATGGTTCTAATTGTCATAAACTTGGAATTAAATGCGTACTGGTGAAAGTTTTGGATTTTTCGCATTATCACCAGGAGCATAATTTACGTCTTTATTTTGATCAGCGTCACAGCGCTAAACTTTAAGAAGATGTAGGTAGATTGTTAGAACTGTGTTGATCGTTTAAAATGAGTATTGTTAGTGGGGTTGATGGACGATGGATGTTTCAGCTGGTGTGAATGATGCGAAGAAGTGGAGGGATGAGTTAATGGGGAAGTACTCGTTCCTCTGGACTCAGGACATGGAGGAGGTCATGCAACAGTTCCTCACATACGCACAGGTATAATTTCATTAGTTCTCGTTTGTTTGTTAACCAGGTGTTTACTCAAGCGAACTAGTAATTCTTTTCTCAAGTTGGTTTTGAATGAAAACGAGATTATTGGCGCAAATGGAGTTTTCATTTGAATGCTGCACGACAAAAACGAGAGTTACTTGCTTTAAAGAACGCTCATTTCATTTTTTATCTAATAGGCAATGCCTTCTTGATCCGTTTTTGTTGCCTCGTGCAACAACATTGCAGCCCAGAAAATAGCCAAGAAATGCATAAAAGTGGTAAAATTGCACAACAGTGGTTATCTGTTCAGAGATGAACTGTTGGTATTTTGGGCCTTTTCTTTCTTGGAGCAATTGTCTTGGTCCTAAGTTCTCAATAATTACGCTAGCGAGCAGCTATTGTTTTAGTACGAACCTTCTTTTTTTCTAACTTAACTCGCAAATAAAAGTGCTCATTAAAAATGTTCACTTGTGTGACTTTTTGCTATAATCACGATCAGTATCATCATTGGAAATTTTATAGCACCTGTTCTCTGCTTAACTTGAGGCTAATGTTTGTGAGTAATTAATCGTCCGTGACTGAGTGGTTGGTGCGTGAGATTCATAATATCTAGGTCGCAGTAGGTGCTAGGTTCTAGTCCGAGATTTCGCCGCTCGAGAGCTGCTTTTTGTCGTGTTCCCGCTAGTGTTTGCGAAGCGCAGACTCGTATCTGTGTATATATTTTTTATTGTATCTATTTCGCAGGTATTTCCCTCACATCATCACCACCATTCCGGACAAGAAGCTGGGGGTCACGAGGACGTCTCAGCCAGCGAGTCAATCGAGACTCCGAGGGAGAGAGAGCCCGACTTGGACGACTTCAAGGAGAAGGTAAGGCGGGCTATTTTATCAATAGATTAGGAATAAAGGATGCAGAAAAATGATTGTGCAAAGTTCAGATTTTTTTCAATTCACAGATTTGTCTCATAGACATTATTGCTAGCTGTCATAAAGTTTGCTACTAGCAAACAGTATCTAATCGGAATATAGACCTTTTCGGGTTAACAACTAAATTTACAAAACCAATAGAGTCATATATGGTGAAGCTGCTGACATGCTGTATCTATTATATATTTAAATGCGGGCTTCACTATCTCGCCATGTTTAAGCTTTTTTAACGCATTATTTTTGCATGCTTAAGCTGTATCGTATATTGCAATGGTTCAGAATTTTTTTTCGATTTTCCAATTTGGTTTTAGTGGTTAATTTTACCAAGTTTAAATTAAGCAGCCCAATATGCAATTAGGGGTTGCGAATTTGACCTCCAATTTTGAATGCCCCGATCATTTTAGTTAACGAGATAAGACAATTTTTGACATTTTTCAAATAACAAAATAACAAAATTTCAAATAACAAAATATTTTTTTTTTACAAAACTTGAAGTTCGCAACCCTTTAGTTGGGTGCTGTCGGAGACTCTAAGGAGTTACAAATCTTGCCTCCAAATATGACTGTTCATATCCTTGTAGTTTTCGAGATATGACGTTTTTTGTGATTTTTTCAAAATTTTTCAGAAAACTTAAATTATTATTTGTTTTCGAAAATCTGAAATTCCCAACCCTGTAATTGGGTCGTATCAGAGTAATCTCAAAGATTGCAAATCTTGCCTTTAAGTATGACTGCTCATTTGTGATTTTTTCAAAATTTTCAGAAAGTTTAAATTAATTATTTTTCAAAATTTGAAATTCCCTACTCTATACTTCGGTGTTGTCAGGGTACTCTAAAGAAATGCAAATCTTGGCACCTGCAACTGCTTAACGCGACTGCTCAAATGCTTTTAGTTTCCGAGATGTGACGTTTTTTGATTTTTTTCAAAATTTCTCAACGAACTTGACTACAAAGAAATTCAAAAAATTTGAAACTACTAAACTGATCAAGATACAACTTTATTGTCAGCGTACACCCAGGCGTCTCAAATCTTGCCTCTTAGTATGAATGCTCAAATCCTTTTAGTTTCCGAGATAAGACGTTTTTTTTTTTCAATTATTTTTTGGGGAACTTAGGTTTAAAAAAATTCACAAAATTTTGGATTCCTAACCCTATAGTAGGGTGCTCTCAGGGACTCTCAGTGGTTGCAAATCTGGCTTCCAAAATTTCTCAGAGGACCATCAAGTTTTCGAGATGACGCTTTTACAATGGGAATAAAAAAAATTAAAAGTTCGAAATTACCAACCCTGTAATTGGGAGCAGTCAGAGTACACTAAAAGTTTGCAGATGTTGTTTCCAATATAATCGGTTTTTCATGAGTTATCGAAAAATTTTGAAGCACCGAAGGTGCGTTAACTGCTAGAATCATAGAAATGCTTATATATTGAATGAAAGTCGGAATGCGCTATGGACGCAATGTTTAACTGATCGCAACGGTTTAGTTTTGTCGAGCGCAATGCTTAATTAATTTCTCTAGGCTCAGCGTTTAAAAGAATGCCAAGAATCTATTATATATTTACACAGGCATAGATTGTGTTATCGTATGAGCTTTCTTTTTTTTCAAACTAAGTCGCAAATATGGTTGCGATGCAATTCTTGCGACAAAATAGGTTCGTTTTGAAAGTGTTCATTTTTATCCAGCTATTAAGTACAGCCAATGCTACGGATATTAACAGACTATTATATTACAAATAGCACTTTAGCTTCAAGGCATCATGGATCTGTAGCGTAGAGGTAGGGAAGGAGACAGCAGCAAAATAAGAGGGTTTGAATCTGGGCAGGGTCGGATGTTTTTAATGAACTTTTTCGTATACTAGTTGGGTGCTGTAAGGGTACTCTCAGGGATTGCGAATCTTGCCTCCAAATCTCACCTCACAAATATTTGTAATTTTCGAGATATGACGTTTTAAATAATTTTTTTCAATAATTTTCAAAAACTTGGATTTAAAAAAATTCTAAAATTTTGAAGATTTTCATCCTGTAATTGGAAACTGTGAGGGTATTCTCCGGGGTTGCGAGTCTTGTCTCTAAATATGACTGCTCAAATCCTTTGGCTTGGCTGGTTAACTGGCTCCAAATTTTCAATTTTTCAATTTACTGGCACCAACTTTTCATTTTTTCTTTTAGGCTTGATATACTAGAAGATTATCACTTCTCAATACTCGCAAACTGCTGATGCATTTTGCACGAATACCTGGCTTTCTATTTGAACAAATAGCGGTATTTTTTGGTATAATTTGAACAAAAGTATAAATAACTCTTTGCTGGGGATTTCAACCTCTTACATGAAGGCTGGAAGTCGATATTTGTCTGAAGAAAAAAAACCACCCCGAGCACATATTCCAAAGTACTTAATTAAAGTTGAAATTTTTCATGAGACAAATTCAGAACTTTTTGCAATCTTTAAGCCCACATAACTTATTGATAAATGATCACAGGTGAAATATCTTTTTAATTTAGGACAATAATATTTTTTCGATTGGTAATTTAAATTTCCGTCAAAAATTGCTAGTTAAAAAAACGACATGGTCCGAAGAAAAACACCCCGATCACAAATGTTCCGTCACTTTCTTCGAAAATAGTCAGAACATCAAAAAAATACGGTTAAACAATTAACATGAACAAAGAAAAGAAGCAATGGGTATTGTGTTTCATAACAGCCTTGTGTATCAACCTTGAGATTCATTTTCATTAAATTTTGATCGGATTAATTGAATGTGACTGAATGAGTATTTCTCGACGTGCAGATTGACTTCTACAATGCGCAGTACCAGTCTCTGACAGAGCTGGATGCATCGATGGTGTTCGAGGGGTGGCTGCGAGTGGATGCGAAGCCCTTCAGACAATACGCCCTCACAGCCGCCAGAAAGTGTGCCAACATGTTCAAGAACCACCTGCTCAAACATGTGCAGACCAGGTTAGAGAAATCAATGATGCAAATAAAGGTACGGATTTAGGATAATTGAGAGCGAAGATTTATCAAAGATATTTAAAAAATAAGTTCGCTGCTTTTTTGGTGACTTAAGCTACAAGTTTTGCAAAATTTTAGTTGCTACAGGGTATTTGTTTGAAAGTCTTTGATGAAAACCGGAAATAATTTCAAGCCATTGCTCTCTAAGCTGGCTGAATAAACAGCATGATAAATCCAAGTCAGTATTTCACGAAATACATACCATAATGCTCCTTGTAATGGAGTTCTCAAAACCTGCCCATTTAAGTTGTACTTACCCCTGGGTCACTAGACTGGCTAAAAGAATTGTGAATGAGTACGATTATTTTTTAGGAAGACTAGATAAATCTAAAACGAAAAATTAGACCACTATAAATTTTTGAAAAAAGGCCAAAAAAGGTGTTTTTATGCACCTTTTGGAAAATTTCGACCAAAAAATTGCGTTTTTTTGGCGCGCGCTCCCTCCTCAAAATTAGTATAGATTGGCTCCTTCAGAAAAATTTGAAGGCCAGTCAGCTAAAGTTGGATATCTCAAAATCGTACAAAGGGGGCACCCTTTGGGTCGGCAGGGGGTATGCTATGTTAGACTTCTTTTTAAACTGGTGTTAAAATCGATTTTGATGTGTTCTAGTCTGGAAGAGTTGGCGTCGATGATAGAGGAGGCGGACAAGGGACTGATTGAGCCGATCAAAGACTACGACAGTCTGGTGAATTGCATGTCGCACCTGAGCAAAATCAGAGAGAGACACGCCATGACCGACAGCATGTTCGGACCCCTCGGAGGCACAGTGGAACTATTGAAGAGCTACAAAGTCGACATCACGGAGGAAATCTACGAACAGCTAGAGGTATGAGCGATGTGAAACGTCTACTTAATGTATTGAAAAATAATTATTTGACGTATCGATTCCAGGTATAAGAATTTGCGATTCAGGGTTGGTTGAAAGCTTTCTAATTAGAGATAAGTGTGATCAGCATAAGATAAACACGCTCCAAGAACCGTATTAGTGACCTTGCGTATGTTCATTGGTCAGAACATGGCGATTTAAGTTTGATTAAATATTTTGACTCGATTTGTTTGATATTTTTACTCGGCTGACTAATTTGTTTGATATCGTGGAATTGTGTCAAAAGTTGATTTTTTTCTCGTCAAGTAAAGTAGTTGTAGGTTTATTAAATCGCTCATATTTGTTGACTGAAAGAAGATTGCCAATATCTTTAGTGTATATATGTAATTTCCATGTAACCATAAAAGATATTGGCAATCTTCTTTCAGCCAACGAACATGTTAATTTGATAAACCTACAACTCCTTTCTTGACGCAAAAAATTCAATTTCTCGCACAATTCCACCATATCAAACAAACTAAACCAAGTCAAAAAATGTAATCAACCTTAAATCGCCATGTTCTGACTAATGAACATACGCAAGGTCACCGACGATACGTTTCTTGGAATGTATTCATTTAAGCTGATCACGCTCATCTCTAATTAGAAAGCTTTCAACCAACGCTGAATCGCAAATTCTTATACCTGGAATCGATTATGGTAACATAGAATTAACAAGATACACTGTCTGTAATCACATGTAAGTGTGATTATATTTGTGTAATCATATTTTGTGTGCAGAGTCTGCCGGAGAAGTGGGAGAAGACGAAGAAGATAGCGATGACTAAGAAGCAGGAGGTGGGACCCCTGCAGGCGGAAGAAGTGACCAAGATCAGAAAGTCAGTCTCCCAGTTCGACAAGGAACAGCAGGCACTCATCAAACAGTGGAGGGCAGTGGACGCATTCAAGTACACTGCACAGCAGCCATACCAAGACATAGACGACGTGAGTCCTCATGATTTCCTCTTTCTAATCAGGTTCCTTTCAGCAAAACTAATCAATTTACTAATCAACTTCCTAATCAGGCTTTTTTCTATAAGAATGTATTTTTTTTTCAAAAATAATTAGCGTTTCAGCAAAATAATTTTGGAGCGTAGTAAATTTAGCGCCCTACAGATGACATTTTTTTCCACTATTTGGATCCAGCCTGATTTCGTTGGCTGTCCGCTCTTTGTTACTGATGTATTTATACTTGAGTTATCTGGATGCAAATATCGAGTCACAACGAAAAATTTACTCTTCTTCTTTATTCCTTGAAGTGTTCTTTCCTAAATTATGTGTAACCGAACCCTTAGTGTATATAAGATGAATCTGATTTTTGTTTTCTAAAGAAAAGTTTGAAACATTAATATTTGATATAAGATTGCAACTGAAAAAAAAATCTTTTTTTTTCTGTTCCTTGAGTTCAATCATTTCAAACGTTTTAACAACGTACCAACTGTCTGTTGGCTATGTTCAGTTGGGTCTTATGTGCACTTCAGATGGTGGAGAAATTTGATGAGAAAAGTGAGAAGCTGGTTCGGATACAGGACTCAGCCAGACTGTTTGAGGTGACTGTGCCGGAGTTCAAGCAACTGAAGATGTGTGTGCCACACGAAGCCAGACTGCTGAAGAGTGTGTGGGACCACGTGGAACTCATGCGCTTCCTCATTGATGAGTGGACCGCCTCCAAATGGATGGGTGTGTAAATTATATTTGAGAGAAGAGGAAATAAGAAGTCCTCCCTGTATTATGCTGTTTGTTTTGTTTTGGCACATAAAATTATGATATGAAAACAGATGCCTGCCTGAAAACAGGCTAGTTCTCAGCATTTGACGATCTCTCAATTAAAATAATTCTTTTTTTTTTCTACACTTGCTTAAACAGTGACCCCCTTGGAGACCCAACAGGAAGTTATGGGCATCTTTCTTTGTTATGGCAAATAAAATTGTGATATAAAACTGTTTTGAGCATATTTGGAAGTTAATCACAATCGTCAGTTTATTACCAATTACCTAAGTCAGCGTATCAAACAGTTTAACAGTTCACAACAGTTTTTAAGTGTCAATGAGCATAATGAACACAATTACATATGTAGTTAGTGATTTTATTAAATTTTCTGGAAAATATTTTCAGGCTGCTTTTTTGCAGTTTATTTTTTTGATTTTTCAAGTTCATTTCAAGTTCTTTTACTTATAAGTCAAATGTGGAAATAACGAAAGTGGAAATAGCGCAAAAAAACGTGCATGATTTTAAGCTTCGAAAGGGGGTGTAGCTAGATTCCCAGAGGAATCAAAAAGTTGCCTTTTTCTCCAGTTTCCTTAGCTAAGCGGATGACCCGTTGCTGTACATAGGCTTCGATAAGTTGCCATCGCGTAGGCATTTCTCAGAAAGAATCCAAAACATAGTTATCAAAAATATTGATGCATTCAACTCATTGAAGCTCAAAATCAACCCCGACCAGAAGGAAATTCTTTTTGACAAGGTCAAAGGGTAATATTCTGAAGCTCTTGGAACCCCCGCCGTTAATGGGAGGTGAATTTAGTACTTTTGCTCAATGCATAAATATTGACTCAAATTTACTAATTTATCACAAATTACCATCAATATGTACCGTCTAATAAGAACAACTGTACAAAACGAAATTGTAGCTAAGCCTCGAAAGCCAACTGCTTCTGGTGAAAAGTTCGAATTTGAACCACGTTGATTATTCCAAGATATTTTGAACGGCATTGCTAGATCCAACGTAGCTAATTGAAAGCGTGTTAAAAATGCATCGTGTCAATTCATCTGCAATCTACTAGTTTTAATGAATGTGATCCATGTCTCGCCATGTTTAAGCTTCGTTTACGTAATATTTAACATATATAAGCATAGACCTAACTCCTCATATTTTTGAATTTATCTTCTAATTTTTGGCTATTACTACTAAAAATATTTTGCATAATTGATCCCTTCGTTTTAAGTTAGCATTTATCAGAGTCAAGCATTTCAGACCAACAGCAGATTTTTACCCATGTCTTTTTAGATAGCTTCACGTTGAACAGCATCCTAGTGCAACTGGCATAGTTTTTATCATTTATGCAGTATATTGAGGCTACAAAACTCTCTTTATTGGCCATCAAGTCTCAAAATGCTGCAGAGGTTACCAGCTTTGGAATGCAAGTTTGGAATTTTTGAACTTTAAGTCATCTTTTCGACAGGATAGAGAGAGAGAGAGAGAGAGAGAGAGAGAGAGAGAGAGCAGAGAATTTCGAATTTAACTGTATATAATTAATTCATCTTTTTGCGATATTCAGAAAGTTAAAGCGATTTTAGTTGAAAATTGGGAAAAACGTTTTTTTTTGAAAAAAAAAGTCGAAGAGGGTTAAGCTTCCCAAAAATCTACATTCATTTAATGACCTTAAGTATCTATCATTTTTTATTACGTCGTGTTGTGTATGTGCAAGATCTGTTTCTCGAGGCAGCTTTGCTGCGGTGGGCAAGCTAGCTTATCTAACTTTGCATCCTTCGAGAATACTTATGAATTTTGCACTGGTGGCCAGTTTTAGGACGGACAATTTAAACTTGCTAGTTTGCCTTTAGTTTTTAAAATACCCTAGTTTCAGAGTTAAAAAAATTCTAAACAGAAAGGCAGGAAGAATAGACACAAAACTTTTATGCTATTCAAACGAAGATGTGTTTTTTTAACGGAGCAGATGCCGTACCGCTAAATCATCCAATTCTCAGGGTCGAATAGGTGATCAAACTGTGTTGTTGGTTCCTCATTTGTATATGTTTTTTTTTGCAGAATTCTGTTAATATTGCGTGCCCCTGTACCATTATTGTTCCGATTTAACGGAATATTTATGCTTGTTGTGTTAATTTTTTTTTCAGTCCATTTTCGGCGATCGAAATAATAGTTATTGACTAAAAAGTTTTACTCCTCATTGAAGATACTGACTCCCTAAAATCAAATATAAATTTCTGGAAGTTTGAAAACTACCAATTTAGCCTTGCTCTGGACCAATTTATGCGAGTTTTGAATATTTTATAATGCTGAAAGCGTAACCCGAAATATTTATGCGTGGCGACTAATATTTTCACACTTGATCTTTGATATTGTTCAAAATTTTTAGTTTTTCAATATTTTCTTTTCCAAAAAACTATTGGATATGGATTAAGGGGCAGTCGGGCATTCAGGGCTTTGCCGTGATATACGAGCAGTCTTGTTGGCATCATGCAAGTGCTCAGAAGGTAGTTTTTATTACTAAGCACTCCGCATTATAAAAGTACGGTGTGAAGTTTTCATTCAATTAGTCATTTACGTCTAAAAGCTATTGAGACTGATCTTTAAGAGAAATAAAACGTGTCTCATTTAATGGTAAGTCTTATAGTTTGAGACGTATAGGGAACTCAAATTACCAATTAGCTTAACCTAATCCAATTTAAACTGAATTTGATTTCGGTTTGATTCGTCACGCTTTTATCAATAGTGCTTACGTTTTCAGTAGCATAGATAATCTCTTCAAAGAGCGAATAAAATAGTCCAAGACCTAGAACAAATTGGTTGTTTTCAAACTGTAGCAACTTTCACAAAAGTGATTTTTGATCTACGGTTCCTTTTTTTACCTTCTGATATTTTATATAGTAAAGGTATTGAGTAACACTTCTCTGCTGCCGTTAACCAGTTTTTTCGACAGCGATTATTGAAGTTTGGAAGGGACAACACCGGATTGGTTTCAAACTCAGCTTCAGAATGATTGAAGACTAAACAAGTCGATTAGGAAGACTATTGGAATCATGGGCGTGTGTCTTATATTAGAGATAAAAATTGATATACTAGGTTTCTAGCTTGATTAGTTTGACGTACGAACAACAAATTAACATTTGGGTAGCTCTACTACCTGAAACTAAGAAAGTTTTTTCTGCTTAAAGTACTAGCTTTGATAACCGGGAAATTTTTGCTAGATTCAGAATGGATTCTGTTAACTTTTTGTAAATTATGATGAAGCTAATCTGGGCTCAAAATGACATTTAGGCATGTTTTACCCATCGATGAACGAGCCAAATGTAAATGTGTCATTTATATTGACAAAGTTTTAGTTGTGTTTTCTTGCGTATTTTTGATTTAATTTTCTGAAATACATACAAAGCCAATGAGCTATAGTCGGCCAAGAAACTTCAAATGTTTTCGAGGTCATGTCAGTGAAAACCACATGTGATAAACTCTACTTTTGTTCATACTTCTTGAATGAAATTGTGTTTGTAAGGGAAATAGATATAATATATGAATTCACATAAAGTTTGGAAATTATATCAATTAAGTGCTCAATGATTAATTAAGGAGAAATTTGTTGCTATTTGTTTACTTTAGATTTTTTAAATAATGGATCAGCCCTAATTTTTATTAACTCTATGTGGACGTGGGAGGTCTTTTGTCTAACCTTTAGTTCTGTCGCAAAAGTTTCCAAATGGTTCCTTTTTTGGCACTTTTTAATGACAGCTTGACTGCGTGATGAACGCTAAAAGTTTGTAATAGTTTTGTGGGTGTGCGCGCCGAAAAATAAACATTTTTCTTTTCTCAAAATCTTGCAGAATTGCTTAAAAATTGCCTTTACACCAGATGATCGACTACAATGTAGAAAGTTGTGACGTTTGTAGTCGTTTTGGGGCTGCGACAGCTCGAAAAATTCTAAATGGCTGGCCTAAAGATCGACCTCAGAAGTTTTTCAAAAGACCGCTCAGAAAACATTGAGCGATCTTTTGATAAGTATGCGCACGCCACTTAGTGTGTTCATAAGTATAAGACTGTTTTCGACGGGTGCCGGCCATCAAGACGACAATAATTCAAGCCGATTAAAAAATTGCAGACTTCAAGCTGACAATTTTCTCAATTAGTCATAAAATTTGAGTAATTTGAAGACTGTTTTGAGCAAACAATTACTCAATTTAATGATCTTTCTTTATCAATTTTGTCTTTTAAGCCTGTAATTAATACTGTTTAAGCCTGTAATTGATATTTATGAAGTTAAATGTTGTTGACGTTTTCATGTTTATTATCCTTGCAATAAGCAAGGGTATTGCAATCGGGTACTAGACTTTTTTCCATGTTTGATTTTTTGCTTTTTTCAAACAGTTTCAGTTCATGTTACTTTGACAGAGTCAACCTTTGTTGCGTAATTTCAAGGGTAAAATTTATCTGTTTGGGATTATGTGTCTCACTTTGGATTTTCATTTATGCATTTCAAAATCCGGTTGTTGTAATTAACGGATGCCATTCTTTAATGTTGCCTTGTCAGGAATAACGCTTACTATGGATATGGATTAAACTTGCGTAAATTTTTCGAAACTAAATCTTTACAGATGGAAATATAGTGTTTTGAGGTGCTTTTAAAGTTTAAATTTTGGCGTGAAGTTCTTTCGGCTTGTAGTCCTGTCGGGCTTCTGTCATAGACTTGTTTTGGACTTCCGAACATATGGCTCAGAATAATCCTTTTCCTTCAATGCATGAATATTTATAGGCTTTTGCTGAATACTGAGATTGAGTAAATTTTTTTAAATGTAGAAATTGATCTGAACGAGGTGGGACTGAAGGCGAGGGAGTTTGCGACTACTCTGAGGGGCATGGACAAGCAGGTGAAGGAGTGGGATGTGTACAAGGGCATTGATGATGCAGTGAAGAACCTGCTCAAGTCTCTTGGGTCAGTGACCGAGCTGAGGTCTCCCTCCATCAGGGACAGACACTGGAACGAACTGATGCGTACGTTTAGATCCTGATATTAGAGCGAGTTTTTGAATTAAGAAAAAAAAACAGGTTGGTTTGAGTAATTGAATAGATTAAGTCACTTAGTAGGGGTGAGATACGCCCTCATTTAGCTGCGGGATCGAATCGAATCGCACGTGCACTAATATTAACATAAGTTGAGTTCTTGACTATTTCGAAAAACGCTAAATATAGGTAACTAATAACGGTTTTCTATCCTTTTCAGAGGCAACGGGTGTTCGAATAATCATGAGTGAAGAAACACGACTGAACGAACTATTGGCTCTCAATTTGCACAAGTTTGAGGATGAAGTAAAAACAATAGTTGACAAAGCAGACAAGGAGGAACAGATGGGAAAGGCCATCACGGAGTACCACAAGTTCTGGGACACTTCAGACTTCAACTTCGAGTCCGCTCCCAATCGCGAGGACGTCCAGATCCTGAAGACAGACCCGATACTGATGGAGACTCTTGAGGACAACCAGGTGCAACTACAGAACATGATGCAATCGCGGTTCGTCGCCCACTTCAAAGGACAGGTATCGCTTTGGCTGGGAAAATTGACGACTGCGGACTCAGTCATTCAAATGTGGTTCGACGTACAACGACAGTGGTCCAATTTGGAGAACATTTTCCTTGGATCGGAAGATTTGAGGAAGCGGTTAAAAGAAGATTCAGAAAGGTAACAATCTCAGTGTTATTGAAGACAGGCGGCGCTAAGATTGCATTTTGCTTTTTCTTTTTCAATGTAAGCTAGATGCCTTACCAGGACGTCAGTTTTGCAAGTTTCGTCAAACTGTAATTTCCCCTAAAAGAGATTTTTTTTCATGCTGGCAGTTTTGTGCTTCCTGGAAAACAGTAATACCCATTTAAAACGCAATCGTGTTGGAACTTCGAAAGAATATATATAGTTTTTCGAAAGAATATATATATATTTTTTCGAAATAGTTTGCTTCTAAATTTTTTTGAAGTAAATCACTGAAGTGAAATGATCATCTTATACCTAGGAACATCAACAGGCCAAATGCGTTCAAAAGATCGCCATAAACTGAAACAGGAAGAAATGAAAGCAAACGAACACTCTCAAAACTTAACTTAAACGGACACATTTTTTAAAGCTACGTGGAAAAGAGTTAAATGTTTTATCTGGTTACTAGGGACAGCTGTGACATGTTACGGTGCCTCTGAATGCTGTGTAATCAAATAAGTGAACTATTTTGAATATTCCAAATGTTCAAGGTTTGACAAGATAGACAAAGAGTTCAAGGAACTGATGATGGAAGCGGCAGAAGAACCCAATGTGATCAACTGTACGAATCAGCGTGGAAGATACGAACAGCTAGAAGCACTTCTGGAGGGTCTCTCCAAATGCCAAAAGGCACTGTCCAACTATCTGGAGACGAAGAGACTGGCCTTTCCCAGGTTCTACTTTGTGGCGCCTGCTGATTTGTTGGATATTTTGTCAAACAGCAACAACCCTAAAAAGGTAAGTCATATTGTTCAGTTTCGATAGCCATCGGCGAAGTGTGAATTTATCTCGGAAATTTTTTTGTCTATTTCATGAAAATATCATTTTAAATTAAGAACTAAGCTATATGGTGAATATTAATTGAATTTATTAGCTGGTGAAGTAAAAAAAATAGCTGTATTAAATAGCTTTTTGTACTACACGTTTTGCTCGTCTCGGTTTTACCAGAAGCGTTTCTCTGTACAGGTTTGCAAGCACTTGAGTAAACTGTTCGACAGTCTGGCCAAACTCGAGTTCCGAGAAGACTCAAAGAAGGCCTTCAAGATGGTTTCCAAAGACTCAGAGGAAATGATCATGGATGAGGTGTGTTTGACATTGGGTTTCATCAGTTATAGCTATAGAACATTAGATAAAATAACAATTTTTTTTATTTTACATTTTAACAAGTTGTTAGGTGCCAATGAACGAAGTTATGTCGCGTTGATTTTTTTCATTTTTTTAAATCATTTTTATGTGCGGTTTGACTTTTGATTTCTTGTTGTTCAATTCAAAAATATTTTCTAAAAGAAGAGTTTGTTAGGATCTTTAAATACAAATGCGTAAAAAGCGCAAATGAAGTCTTAGTTTCGAAAGTGGATTTTCTTTTCCAGCCGAGTTAAAAATTACCTTTTCCTAATGTCCACTTGGTTACTGTTTGATGATATCCAGTGCTATCCGACTGGCCCTATTTTGGCCCTGAGACAAAATACACTAATTAATAGTCGATGAACGTTGTTCAGACTGTTATATAGGTCGCGATGATTTTTTTGTTTTGTTTTTTTTTCCAGGAAAAGTTCTAAAATGCTCAAGTAACAACAGAATGCTCTGATAACAATGCTCTTTCTTTTAAATGAACATATGAATGCCATTATTTATATATGTTCTTTTTGAGTTCAATTCAAGTTCATTTTCTAGAAGGTAGGCAAAATGCACTCCAGTTATGAAAGTGTAAAAGTCTTGAAAAACTTGTTCGACTTCAAGTCTCGGAAGTGGAATTTATTTTCAGATCCCAGCGGAATAAAAATTTTACCTATTGATCCAGCTTTCTCAATTTGAGTTAATTTTATCCAAAAATGTGTCAATCCTAAAGTGCTTTTGAAATTTCGAGCTCTTGAAATGTAAAGCCCTATATTTTTTACTTTAAGCTTAGGTTTGTTTCCTTGCATTCATTGACTCTTCCAACTGTCTGTTGGCTATGTTTTTGAAAATATAGGTCTTCCAAGAGTGTTCAAAGTCACTATTTCTGTCAATAAATTATTTATGGAAACATTGCTTAATATAGATATTCTAGGTTTGAGCAGAACTTCAATTTCGAAAGTTCTGGCAGTAAAAAAAGTTGGAAATTTTAACCCCCGTCAAAAGTTTCGTGCGAATGCCACTGCTATTTTGTATGTGATGTAGGAGTGTGACTGTGTGGGGGAGGTGGAAGACTGGCTGGGAGGGGTGGAGAGGAGGATGAAGGGCAGTGTGAAGTTGAGCACCAGTGAGGCTGTCAACATGTACGAGGAGAAGCAGAGAGACCTCTGGATATTCGACTTCCCAGCCCAGCCGGCACTCACAACCACCCAGATATACTGGACATCCGAGGTAAATTAAATATCATAAGTAATACACGACTAAAGGTCTTGAAACACACAACAGCGTAATCTGAAGCTTGCGTGTACTTTTATTACATGTGCAATAATCGTATATAAACGGAATCGAGCTTCTAACAAGATGATTTTTCAACCTGGATAAATTGAGTCCTCCTTGAAGGTGCTAGTGTTGTTTCTTTTTTGATCTAGAGTTTTTAAGGAATGCATGAAATCAGGATTTAACTTAGTGGTCACCGCAATTCAAAAAGGAATGGGATCATAAATTGGGTTGTGGAATGCTTCGCTTGGCAGTTAGTTTTTTCGCTTTTGCTGGTAGCAAAGATTTGAACTGTGATATTTAGGTGAACCAGGCCTTCAGTAAGCTAGAAGAAGGTTATGAGATGGCAATGAAAGAGTACAACAAGAAACAGATAGGCCAGCTGAAGGCACTCATTGACCTTCTCTTGGACAGCAAACTGCCACACGGAGACAGGGAGAAAATCATGACCATATGCACCATAGATGTCCATGCTAGGGACATAGTGGGAAAACTCATAGCATCCAAGGTCACTGCAAAATCAAATCACATTCAAAACACAAATATCATATTTTTGTCATTCTTAGTTAATACGAAACTCGTTGATCAAGTTTAACTACTAATGTAATTCGGATTTTTCATAATTTTTTGAAAATATTTTCGTACTCGGTTACATATTTGTTCCAAATCCCTTGCTACTTGATTTGCGTGTCTTTTCGACCCTGGTTATATAGTTTTTAATTTTAAATTGCCGAACAAGACAGGTATTTGGAACAAATGAGGACAGAGGCGGATTTAGTGGGGACGCCCCCCTCAGGGAGTCGACCCCCTGCCGACCCAAAGGTTCCCCAAAGGTGAAAGAGGAGCGCGCGCCAAAAATTGTCCCCAAAAAGTGCCTATAAACGCCTTTTTTGGCCTGTTTTTCAAAAATTTTCCGCAGGAAACTTGACCAAAACAGGGTGTTTTTAGTGCTCTGGGAGAGCTCGGAAAATGAATTTGGTGAACCTGAAAAAAAGGTCGACGAAATTTTCGAAAGTTTTTGAAAATCCGCCTTCCCCCTCGAGAAAATCTTAGATCCACCCCTGATATGATTTTGCAGTAATCATTGACTTTTCATTTCAATCGATTCATGCTTATTCGCATTTTTGTGTACATTTGTTTTTTTTTCCACACTTCATCGGTTTTTATTGATGATTTAGATCGAGAGTGCTCTTTCGTTCACATGGCTGTGTCAGCTGCGACATAGATTCGAATTCGACAACACGACCTGCTATGCCAACATATGTGACGCCCAATTTGAGTACTGGTACGAGTACCTGGGAAACACTCGCAGACTTGTCATCACACCACTTACAGACAGGTGTGCACTCATTATATTTGGCCATCCTTAGTGAGGAAGTACTTGGACCCTCTCAGTAAAAACAAGGCAGCAACTCTCATCCCAGAAAAAAGAATTTAAAAAACTCGTTTTGTTGCAACAACTCGTTTTTTTTTAAACTTACCCCATGAATATGTGATCTCAAAGTTGTCGTTAGGAGGTATAAATACTAAGACAAAAAATGCAACCGATGACGTTGACACTTCTTCAGATTACAGATCTGTTAATTCCGTAAATGGTGCGCTTTACACAACGTATTATCGCTAACAGTCAATTTTAGGTCTATTTATTGCCATCTTGATCCAATCGAATTCGCTTTTCATTGACCAAAATCAGTAGCCAAAAACTAATAAATTCTGTAAGTGCTGATTAAAATAAAAAAAAGTGCGAATCTACTGAAGTTAAAATTTTTTAGGTGCTATATAACCTTGACCCAGGCCCTCAACTTGATACTGGGAGGTGCACCTGCAGGACCCGCGGGAACTGGAAAGACCGAGACCACGAAGGATCTCGGCAAGGCACTGGGCATGATGGTCTATGTTTACAACTGCTCGGAACAGATGGACTACAAGTCCATAGGAAGCATTTTCAAAGGGTCTGTACTTCTGGTGAAACCTGTGTAAAGACACCTCAATAATGTTGATGCCGTTTTTGCTCATAACAATAGATTGATTGTGAAAAACCTGCCGTTGTGTTTATGACTAAATTAAAGACTGAGACTAATAGTTGAAGACGAATAATTTCGTTTCTTAAGTTTTACACGAATCGCACACCCGATATACCACTCATTTGGTCCATACCTTGATTTAATTAACGGCATCCAGTTTTGGTAACCAACCCAACGTTTTTTGAAAGGAGCCGGTGGCGCCTCAATCATCCCCTCTCCTCGGTAAAACCTTAAATCCGCGCTTGGGCTAAGTATTTGGTTGATTAATTGGGTAATGTCACACGGTCTCAAGTAAAAAATGAGTTTAGTTCGTTATTTTTAGAAAGTCGATTTCAAAAACATTAGGAAATGTTGATCTTCGAGATGCCGTAGTTTTTATCTGACAATATTCCGTTTCTGGATGTGCTAAAGAAAAATCTTCCAATACTCTTTTAGGTTGGCGTTGACTGGTGCTTGGGGCTGTTTTGACGAATTCAACCGAATTTCAGTGGAAGTGCTCTCTGTCGTTGCAACTCAGGTTGAACTTAATTCTCGCTTCTTTTTATTCCGGCAAGTTTATTGTTCTCATTTGAGAAACAATAAATTTAAAATAGTCTTGTCATAAATAACTAAAAAGAACGTCGCACCTGAAAATTTGTGCCTATTTAGGGTTATGATAGTACTTAATTTTCTTGCATAGTATTTTTTGATTTGTTAGTTTTTTTCTGGAAAAAGTTTTGATTTGATTTTTCGCGGTTTGACATTTGATTTTTTCCAAGTTCAGCTTATTTCCCTTAAAAGGAAGGCAAATTCTACTCCTCTATCGAAAGACAAAAGTGTAAAAGTCACTAAAAACGTCATCGTTTTTATTTGCAGATTTCCCAGTGGAATAATAAATTTTACCTGTTGATCCAGTTTTCTCAAATTGGGTTAATTTAGTCAATCATAAATTGTTTTTGAAATTCAGAGTCTTAAAGCTATTTTTCCTTGGAACTTCGAATTTTGAGGTTTTTTTTCAAAAAGAATAAGTCAGAATTTTTTTCTGTTTACTAGGGTTCATTGACTCTTTCCAACTGTCTATTGGCTATATTTTAAACTCAATGGCTCATAGTCTTAAAAAAACATTTTTTCTCGTCTACAATGAGTACATCAACTATTACCCAATTGTCCTCTGGCTGTTATTGGGTTTGACTCATTTTACGTTCAGGTTCGATCCATTCTAAATGCGATTAAAGACAAGAGGACGAAGTTCAACTACATGGGAGAAGAGATAGGCCTGAAGCCTACCATTGGAATGTTCATCACTATGAACCCTGGATATGCTGGAAGGGCTGAGTTGCCAGAGAATCTAAAGGCTCTGTTCAGACCGTGTGCTATGGTTGTGCCTGATTTTGCTCTTATCGCCGAAATAATGTTGGTGGCTGAGGCGTTTTCAGAGGCCAAGTTTCTGGCGCAGTTAGTCAATGAAATATATTAAAGTTGAATTTGCGATCATTTTTCTGGCTGTTATTCGGACCTTGAAGTATTTTCAACCATTATTGAACATAAATTTATCTTCATTTCGAGTACTAACTGACTTTGTGAAAAAGTCAAACCATGTCCTTTTAATAATTTGCTGATCGAATATGTATTTGGGCTTATTGTTTTAGGAAGTTCATACGTCTGTACGAATTATGCCGTGAGCTTCTGTCCAAACAAGACCACTACGACTGGGGTTTGAGGGCTATAAAGTCAGTTTTAGTGGTGGCGGGTGCTCTGAGGAGGGCCGACCCAGACCTGCCTGAGGAACAAGTGCTAATGAGGGCGCTGAGAGATTTCAACGTGCCCAAGATCACAACTGATGACTTGCAGATATTCTTAGGTCCGGCCTTAGTCAAGGATTCTTTGGTTGTCCACTTAAAAATCTTCTATCTGAGTTATCTGAATCTTGACTGTTCTGTTTCGTTGCTCTTTTCTATCGTTGATTGACTAGGATGCATTGTGGTCTCAAGAAATGTGATTTTCTATCCCATAAAAATTGTCTACCAACGACGTTCTTGCTGCGTTACTTTTGTGTCTTGATAGTCTGTAATGTTAAATATACGTGAAAACGGTTAATCCTCATCAGCATTATAAGAAAGAATACTCAGCTGAGGTTTTTGGATGCATAGGATTGATCGGAGATCTGTTCCCCTCGATCAATGTGCCTCGAAAGCGTAACAAAGAGTTCGAGGCCCTCATCAAACGTACTGCCTTGAAGTTGTCGCTGCAACCAGAAGACGCCTTCATCACTAAGTGTGTGCAGCTGCAGGAGCTGATCGATGTGAGACACTCGGTTTTTGTCCTTGGCAATGCAGGAACTGGAAAGTCACAGGTTCTTAGCATCTCTATCTCGAACCTAAATTGATATCTGCTGCGCGGTGATGTCCATTTAAATAAAAATTGAAATTTCAATTGAAATTGCTCAAAAAAATTGTAAAGATTGTTGGCATCAATTTAAAATTTGCCGAAACAATTTAAGCTTTTCTTTATCAATTTAAATTTTTCTGAAGTGTGTTTCTCAGCAGTTGTTTTTACCAATTTGGGCAATTTTAAAAAAGAAATGCAATTTTTGGGCAATTGGGCTTACAACCAATTTATCAGTTCTGACTTAAAAACTCAGATTGTTTGCTTTTTCCGTGGAAATGTGAAATTAATTGATGTAAGTGAATGTGTACTTTGGCGTCTGATCGATTCCCTCTCAATCACTTAATTAGTTTTTAAAATTAATTTGCTCGATTTAAATAAAATATTGAGTGGGCTCATAATTTTACATTTAAATAAATTAAAATTGAAGAGAAAAATTAAATTAATTTATTTTTTAAAGGACATCACTGCTGCTGCGTTTAATGAAGAGCCATCTAAACACGTAGTCGCTCTTATTTGAGTGCTGTTCAAGCAAGCAACGCTTTTGTTACAAGATCAGTTCACTATTTCTACCTAATGAGCAAATTGCACCTTGGTTTCTATTCGAGACCTCAAATAGCTTAAGCTAAATCCGTCATTCTTTGCTGCCTGATAATTGCTATCACAGTATATGTGAAACAGTTTAATCCAAAAAGCATTAGATTAAGCGTTAAGGCAAGTAACTCTGTTGGGATGTCCGAGGTTTAACTTCCCTGGTCTCCAAAGCTGTATACACTTTTTGTTCCGACCACGGATGTAAACTCTGTAGTTAAGTACTTCAGTTTTTTTAACGTCGGTGAGCGTAGCGAAGACCTTTACATTGGGTATTTTGATTCAAGAGTGATGAACGTAGTGAAGAACGTCACTTAAGAAATTTTGTAGACTGAAAGTTTTACTCATTAAGTTTTTCCTAGTAGAGTTATCGGACATATTTTTGCTTGTGTATGCGAAGTGCAACTTCGTCTCTGTGTTAAAGAAAGGCAAACTCCACTATCGAACAGCCAAACTGTAAAGGTCACGAAAAACATGATTGACTTCTTATTTCGAAAATGGAAGTTAATTATCAGATTTCCTAGCGAAATAAAAGTTGTACGTATTGATCCCTCAAATTGGGTGCTTCAACAATAAAATGTCCATCATAATTTCTTTTACAAATTCAAAGATTCTTAAAGACTTCTATTGTTTTCTTCGAAATTCAAAAGTTGAAGATTTTTGAAAAATTAAGTCAGCTTATTTTTCAGCGCGTTCATTACTCTTTTCCAACTGTCAATTGGCTGTTTTGTTGTCATATCCAAAAAAAAGTCTGAAAATTTGTGCACACTCAAATTCGATCTGTTAAAAAAAATTAGGCGTTTTCTCTAAATGGGCTATTTTTAAGAAAGAAGTGTCAATCAGAAGCAGTTCTCAAAATTCAAAGAGCTTCAGGTGTTCGATTCCGTAACAAAGCAGATTTCGTTTTTTCTTTTTCACTTATCGGTCCTTTTAGAGCTAGTTTTTGCAGTTTTCTCTCGTGTTTGCTTGCTTCGCGTCTGCGTAAACCTGAAAAAAATGTAATTTAAACCTTCAAATTATATCAGTTTGAAGCGCTATAAATTTCAATTCAATTGTATCAAGATTTTTTTCAATAAAACTGTCCCAATTAGAGAAATTTGGATCAATAAATGATCTTTTGAAACTCATTCATTCATGTTTTTCGCAACATACCATTTTCTTATTTGGAGTGCGTAATTTGCCTTCCTTTAGCAAATGAATTTGATTTAAACTTAAGTTCGTAAATGACAAACCGCAAAATATCAAATTTTGATTTTTCTGAAAAAAAGAATCACACCCTATTTGAATGTCTTCACTACGTCCATTGACACAACGTGAATATCTTCTAGGCTCAAAAATGGTTTTTAGTTTTTAATTTGCGAGCGGAATAAAAAAATTTTCTTTTGATTCAGATTTCTCCTTTAGCTGTATTGCATAGTTTTGACTGTTCGGTCGATTCTGCTATCATATAAATGTTACGGATCACGTGCAACTAGGTACAGTATAAGTGAGGCGTGGTACAAATCAACAATTTGACTGTTCGTTCGAATCTTCTATCTTAGAAATGTTTCGGATCATGTGCAAATACGTCAAGGATAAGTGAAGTGAGACTTAGTTCAAGCACCGTGTTCGTTCGGCAAACAATTGTGCGATCGTTCTCAGTTTTCCTGTAATTTGGAGAGTTCTGATAAGATCAAACCTGATTGCTTATATTCAGTTAGCTAATTTTCAGAATGCTCCGAGCAAATATTAATTAGCTTGTTGAAATTTTACATGATTTTCAGATTAAACCATGATTGGATTTTTCTCGGTCGCTGGCGGCGTGAAAAATGGTTCTTTTTCTCCGATTAACCGACTCCTTAGATCATCATCATCTAAACATCAATGCTCACGTTTCAATAGTAATCTTCCTACTAGTATAGCTCTCAGATCTAAACTTGCCAATCGTAATAATCAATCTCTTTTATACATCGAACCTTACTCGAGAAATGTATTCATTCTCAACAACTACAGTAGCGACACTGCCAATTTGAAGCCTATAAAGAAGCTTCTGGTTGCAAACAGAGGTGAAATCGCAGTACGAGTGTTCAGGGCATGCGCCGAATTGGACATTAAAACAGTGGCAATTTATTCTCAACAAGACCAGAAACAAGTTCATAGATTGAAAGCTGACGAGGCTTTTCTTATTGGCAAAGGACTCGCTCCCGTTCAAGCATACCTAAACATACCAGAAATAGTAGAGTTAGCTGTCAAAAACAAAGTCGACGCTATTCACCCTGGATATGGGTTCTTGTCGGAGCGATCTGAATTTGCGAAGGCTTGTGTTAATGCTGGAATTACATTCGTCGGACCCTCGCCAGATACGGTGGCAAAAATGGGCGACAAGGTTGAAGCGAGAAAGATTGCTCAACTTGCAGGGGTTCCTTGCGTCCCGGGAACTGATACCCCACTTGAATCGTTCGAAGAAGCGGCTGAGTTTTGCAAGACTATCGATTTCCCTATTATGCTTAAGGCTGCGTTTGGAGGCGGAGGGCGCGGAATGAGAATTGTCCGAAGTATGGACGAACTTGAGGAAAGTTTCACCCGCGCAAGTTCGGAAGCCTTAGCTGCTTTTGGAAATGGATCGATGTTCATTGAAAAACTGGTCGGGAATCCAAGACATATTGAGATCCAAGTTATGGGCGACAAATACGGAAATATAGTACATTTGTTAGAACGCGATTGTTCTTTGCAGAGGCGTCACCAGAAACTGATTGAAATTGCGCCGGCAATGAATTTAGACCCGATGACACTTTCTACTATGTGGGCGGATGCAGTAAAAATAGCGAAAAGTGTAAACTATGAAAATGCAGGCACAGTTGAGTTTTTGTACGATCAGGACACCCAGAAACACTATTTTATTGAGGTCAACGCAAGACTACAAGTGGAACACACGGTAACTGAAGAAGTCACAGGAATCGATCTTGTCCAGACGCAAATTAAGGTCTCCGAGGGTCATTCGCTGGATAGTTTGAAAATCAACCAAAACCAAATCAAAGCTCACGGTGTGGCGATTCAGTGTAGAATTACATCGGAAGATCCAGGAAAAGATTTTCAACCAGATACAGGACGAATTGAGATCTTCCGAAGTGGAGAAGGTATGGGAATTAGACTGGACAGTGCGTCCGCATTCGCTGGAGCAATTATTTCCCCTCATTATGACTCATTGTTGATGAAAGTCATAGCACATGGCCGGGACCATCATGCAACTATTGCGAAAATGCAGAGATCGCTGAGAGAGTTTAGAATCAGAGGAGTGAAGACAAATATCCCGTTCCTACTGAACGTTTTAGAGCACCCAAGGTTTCAAAATGCATCAATAGATACTAAATTCATTGACACTGACTCAGCTAGACTCTTCAAGTTTCCAAAGAGCAAAGACCGAGCTAGTAAGTTATTGAAATACTTGGGCGATGTTGCAGTGAATGGAACCCAAAATCCGGGCGGAACTTCGCTCAAGCCCTCAGAAGTGGATCCAATTATACCTCATGTTGACAGTTCCCATCAGATACCTCAAGGTTGGCGAGATGTGTTACTGGCTAAGGGACCAGAAGGTTTTGCAAAGCAAGTGAGAGAACACGAAGGACTTCTTCTTATGGACACTACCTTCAGAGATGCACATCAAAGTCTGCTGGCAACGCGAGTTCGAACCGTAGACTTGAAAAAAATAGCACCATATGTTGCACACAATTTTGCTAATCTATACAGCTTAGAGAACTGGGGTGGTGCTACTTATGATGTATCAATGCGATTCTTGAACGAATGTCCTTGGGAGCGTCTCGAGGAGTTGCGAGAACTTATTCCAAACATTCCGTTCCAGATGCTCCTACGAGGAGCTAATGGGGTTGGTTACACCAGCTACGCCGATAATGTAATTTACAAATTCTGCGATCTGGCGCACAAATCGGGTCTGGATATTTTCCGAGTTTTTGATAGTCTGAACTACTTGCCGAGTCTACTTCTGGGAATCGACGCTGCGGGCGCTGCAGGAGGGGTAGTCGAAGCAGCGATGTGTTATACAGGAGACGTTGTGAACCCAAGGGCGAATAAGTACAATCTGGATTATTACATGAAGATGGCGGAGACGCTTGTCAAATCCGGTGCTCATATTCTAACTATCAAAGACATGTCTGGAGTTTTGAAACCGAATGGAGCTCACATGCTGGTCGGAGCTCTAAGAAAAGAGTTCCCTAATATGCCGATACATATACATACTCACGACACAGCTGGGGCAGGAGTAGCATCAATGCTCGCTTGTGCGGAAGCAGGCGCCGACATTGTGGATGTTGCTGTCGATTCGATGTCGGGAATGACGTCACAGCCGAGTATGGGAGCTATTGTTGCGGCAGTTGATAAAACAGATCAATCAACTGGACTGAATTTGGAGAACGTATCTGAGTATTCGTCCTACTGGGAACAGACCAGGAACCTGTACGCACCATTTGAATGCGCTACTACAATGAAGAGCGGGAACGCGGACGTCTATCAGAACGAAATTCCAGGAGGTCAGTACACTAATTTGCAGTTCCAAGCCTTCAGTTTGGGCTTGGCTTCTCAATTCGAACAGGTCAAGAAAGTATACGCTGATGCAAACTTGCTGTTGGGAGACCTCGTAAAAGTGACCCCATCTTCCAAAATGGTAGGAGATTTGGCTCAGTTCATGGTGCAAAATAACTTAACAGTTGAAGATGTCGAGAACAAAGCTGATGAACTTTCGTTCCCAAAATCAGTCGTGGAGTTCATGCAAGGTCAATTGGGACAACCGCTTGGAGGGTTTCCGGAACCATTGAGGACCAAAGTGTTAAAAGGGCTTCCAAAGATGGAGAAAAGACCAGGTGAGGTGTTGGAACCGGTTAATTTTGAAAAAATGCGAGAAGAACTGAAAGAGAAGTGGGAGTTTGCAGATGAAATAACTGACAAAGATGTTATGAGTTATATTTTGTACCCTGCTGTAACTGATACTTTTAAGAAGAACGTTGACAAATTTGGACCTGTCTCGTGTCTGGAAACGCGGCAGTTTTTCATTGGACCAAAAATTGGCGAGGAATTTAACGTGGAAATTGAGCATGGAAAGATTCTCTCTATCAAATTGCTATCAGTAGGAGAACTAGACAAAGTGTTGGGCCAGCGTGAAGTGTTTTTCGAATTGAACGGACAACTTAGATCGATCATTGTGAAAGACAACCAAGCGCAAGCGTCCATTAGTCACCATCCGAAGGCGCGCGAGGGTGTCAAGGGGTCAATTGGAGCACCGATGCCAGGTCAAGTGCTTGATGTGAAGGTCAAAGCAGGCCAAGAGGTGAAGAAGAATGACCCTCTGGCTGTTTTGAGTGCGATGAAAATGGAGATGGTGGTCAGTTCACCTGTCGATGGTGTTGTGAAGAGTGTCGAAATATCGCCAGGCATGAATCTGGAAGGTCATGATTTGTTGATGGAAATTGAATAAAAGGATCTGTGATGCTGAAGAGGAAAAATTGATTGTCTGAGAAGCCGACGTGTATCATAAACTAAACTGGAGACCTAAAGGAAGCTTAGTAAATATTTATATAATGTAGATATGACAACTCTTCGTAATCAATAATGAATTAGTGCAGTGTAATCTATGCTTAATCATAGTTAGATTTGCCTTAGTAATCGGAGAAAATTGCGAGGAAAATGCTGCTTTGCAACACTGAAGGGCAATATTCGCTTCTGATGATAAGGAGGATAAAATGTTAAAGAAAAATAAAGTGAGTTAGTAATATACATTTTTGCAGTGTTTTAATTTTGTCTCGAAAATAAAGACATCAGTTGAGAATAGTTATTATGCAAAGAAAATGTTTTTGCAATTACATTTTTATCTGCTGGGCCAGCTAAGAAATTTTCAACGTCAGGGCCGGCCTAACGATTTGAATTTAAACTAATGATTGGATACACAAGGCCATCGGAACTCGCATGCTGTTTGGGAATTTGATATCCGATTCAGTGGGCTGCGCAGATGTTTTTGAGGGGGGAAAATGAAGGGGCATTCGACTGCTGATTAAAGAAAATTCGAATGTCAGCCTCCTTATTAGCGTACACGACCTTGAATCTTAAATATTATGTTTCTAGTTTTGTACAAGGCTTTATGCTATATTTTAAAACGTTGACTCCAATAAAAAAATATTTAGGTATCAATATATTGTGTTTTAAACATTTGAACATAAGGTTTTCTTTAACATGACGCAAGTAAACTTTAATCAAATAATTGGAAGGGAATATGTTAATTTGTCGCGTAGCGAACCTGATTCGTCGACCTGCTAGGCCAAAGCTAGCAGAATATAGAAAACTTGAGGAATAATATAAATATCAGCTTAATCGTCATTATGAGCTTCAGAATTTATTGTTTTTGTTTAAAATCTTCATTTGCAGTGATTTAGCATCTCAATCAAATACCTCTGGGATCTTTCCCTTGCTCTGTTATTACTTGCAATTAAATACTGTGATGAACATTGTAGTTCGTTTGTATTGTCTTTAGCTTGATTGTTGTTTTCAATTAAATGAAGAAAAAAAAACTATTAGTTACAACAGTTTCTCAAAGCGGAGTTGATTTGCGAAAGTAATAATTAATTTTATTGTGTGACAGAAAAACATACGTTTTCAAGGTATTTAAGAGCGATTCTAGATTTTCTATTTCCAAAATGCCTAAAATAACCATTTTTGAAGCATTTACTTGGAACTTAGGCAAAAATTCCACCTTTCTCGTGAGAAAAGGTTTTTTGGTGTCAATTAATCGGATTTTGTTCTGACTTTCGAAAGCAGTGAAGGAATATTTGTGCTCGAGGTTGTTTCTTTTTCGTCAAACTAATTTCGACTATTTAACGAGCTATTTATTGCGGGATTTCTTGAAGAATATCTGAAAGCTATTGATGTTCTGAGTTAAAATTTTGTTCAAGAAAATTTTTGGCCTGGGGTTGATGTTTTATGTTTTGAAAATTACATATTGGGGTAAGTAGCACGCAAGTCATTTCGTCTGTTTAATGAGAAATTGGTAAATTCAATCATTTCATATTAAGCTTTGTTGAGCAATTTATTCTTTTCTTTACACAAGAAGTAGCAGAAATCATCTCCGTACATTTCGCACAGTGATTGAGGGTGTTTTCAAATAGTTAAGTCCTTTTATTTCATCGCCGATGAACGTAGCAAAATTTCTTTAATCGGCAGTGATGTTTTGTTCAATTGCTTTCTGCAAGAATAAAAGCTGAAAAGTCACGAAAAACGTGATCGTTTTCTAAATTCAAAAGTAGATTTAAATTTAGGATTTCGCAGCGGGATAAAATTTTTCACCTCCTGATACAGTTTTAAATTATTCTAATATTTCAAAGAGTTTTAAGGATATTTTTTATTCTTTGAAGCCCTTAAATTGAGATTCATCCAAAAACAAGTGTTCAAAAATATTTTGATAAAAATAATAGCACTAGAGGCACGAAATGTATTCCATTTTTTAGAAAAAAACTGAAATGTCAAAAAATAAAGAAACAGGGTACAACAAACGGGCTGAAACTTGACATTTTGGGCGAGGGGAAAGTAAAATCAATACCGTGTATGTCTTCATCTTTTTACGGAGTTCCGAATTGACTCCGAAATGTTGAATTAAGGGAATTTGTTTCACTTGGCAACGCTGATTAGTTTCAATTAACTAAATTTCACAACTTATTGTGTCGCCAGATCTTTTGATTCAAATGAAAGCAGCAAAATTGAATGTGAGTGCTCTGATGGATAGCTGATATTCAGTTCAGGTGACTCAGTTTTTTGTTTCTCGAAGAGGCGACCATAGGTTGATTTCTTTTTGTCGGGAAGCAGATCGCAAACAGGAGGTATAAGGCATCCTTCGACTGGAGCAAAAAAGTATCAACTCGAAGGAATAAAATGTGTGCTGTCGAAAACGTTCTATCATAGAACCACTCATCTGGTCGTGTAGGTATGTCATCTGGCCCAGGTAATGTGGCGAATACAATAAGTCGGTTTTCATTTTGGGCTTCCAAATTGTACAAACGAAACGACAGGCTTCAATTACAACTGGTAGAATAGCAGAGTAACTCGGTAAAAAAACAGCTATTTCTCCGTTCAAATCTCGCTGGGCTGCGAAAACGGTCTGTTCTGGTGTTACTTCGAAGCTGCTGTTTTTTTTTGAAGCGCTTTTTTTTACTTGGTTTTTTGGTTTCAATTAATCAGTTTCTATAGCAATTTTCAAAAACAGCGAAGGAATAATTGTGGCCTAGGTAATTTTTTTCGTCAAATTTTTTTCGACTTTTCAACGAGGTATTTGTAGCGGTATTTCATGTAGATTTTTATGAAAACTTTTTCCTTGAGCTATTGATGCTCCGAGCTCAGATTTAAGATTGTTTTGCCTGTGTTTGATTTTGGGAATTTTGAAAATAACATATTCGGATAATTACCGCGCGAGACATTTCGTCTGTTTATGGAGAAAATCGTCAATTTAATTTTCATTTTGATCTTTGTTGAGTAATTTCTTTAATAGGCAGTCATGATTTATTTTATTGTTTTTACTAAGGAAAAGTCCCGAATTTCTCTACTAACCTCAGAAGTGCTATATACCTAGCCATAAGTTTGTAAAAGCATTTTCGTGTCTGTGCTTTTTAAGTTTAATAAACTCAGTTGCTGAAAAGCAGACATTTTGCGCTCAGCTAAAAAAAAAGCGGAAAAGTCACGAAAAACGTGATCGACTTCTAAATTCAAAAAAATTACCTTTAATATTTCAAGGCGTGATAAATTTTTTTTCCTGGCACAGTTTTTCGCAAACTTTCAATTTTAATTTAAAAAGTTGATTTTGAATTGATTCAATTTTTCAAACAATTTTTTGGACATTTTTTATTCTTTGAAGCCCTTCAATTCAGAAACATCAACAAACAAGTGTACAAAAAATGGACTGAACTTGGAATTGAAAATCAATACCTTGGAACTCTTCATTATTTTTATAGAGTTCTGAATTGACTCCAAAAGTGTTGATATCAAGGTTTTTTTTTGCTTAGCAACGCTGAACATTATTAATTAATTGAATAAGCTGAATGTTTTACCAGGCCTTTTGATTTAAGGTACCTCTTGATTCTAATCTTGATATCAGTGGACTCAATTTTTTTATTATTCGAAGAGGCTACTATACGACGATTCATTTTGGTCGGAAAACAGATCGCAAACATGAGGTATAAGTCATCCTTCGACTAGAACATGATTATTAAAAGTTTGAAGGAATAATTTATGAGCTGTCGAAAACGTTCTATCGTAGAACCACTTATCTGGTAGTGCAACCATTGTACAAACGAAATTGCTCGCCGTCTGGTGTTTCTTACTTTGAAGCTGTTGCTCTTTTTTGAAACTTGTTTTTGAACTTGTTCTCTGTATTAGCTGGATCGATAAATTGGCAGTGATCTTTAAAGATCTCAAGGGAAATTTCTTTTGTCCGATTTCGTTCATTGCAATTTTATCATGCGCACAACCAAGAAAGAGTTATCTGACAGTGCTCATGTGTTATTTTAAGCAGATTCTTCAAAACCTAGTTACTCAGAGTTTTAAGTTTCAAAATTTTAAAAATTAATCTCCATCTAGAGAAAGTGAAATAAGCTCATTTTGACTGTTAAGTGTTTGCAAAAGAATCAGGTTGATCATTCTGTCTATCTTTTGAATTGAGTTAACAAATAATCCTTTTTTTATTTGTGTTAACGTTTGTTCTGCGAATTATTGAGTTGCTGCATATAATGAGTGGACGCTAAAATATTTTTAATCCGAGAGAATTTTTTTTATCAGTTCAAAGAATAATTGTCACTTTGATCAATGGGACTGTTTCTCGGATTGTTTTTGTGACTTTTTGTTCAAGACTGTTATTTAGACTTTCTTATTACTTGTGAAAGCTCGTGTCTTGTAATCGAGAACTAGATATTTTCCCCTTTACAACTTTTACAAATCGTCAACTGTCTTGGTTCGTTTTAAGGCATCACCGTTGGAACTTTACTGGAGGAACGAAAACTGCAGCACGAATGAACTGAAATTATGAATGCAACGAAATCTGTTAAATAACTATAACATAACTTAACATAACTGTCTCGTAATGGCAAAAATAATCAAAAACCAACTAAATAACACGCGTTTCATGTGTCATAAGCTCTTAATAGCACACAAATCAACCAAATTTCGAAGAGAGACTAAAAAGAATTTCTAAATCGATTTCGAGTGCATCACTGAATTTCCTTCCATGTTAGTCCTAAACTATAGCAGCAAAACAATCAAGAGCCATAAACTTCTCAAATTGTGTTTTCGGCCTATCTCTAAAATAACAAAAAAGAACAGTTTTTTTTTGTTAATTTAAGGTCGCCTTTTTAATAAAACCAAGCAAAAAAAATTCTCAAATTACTTTGTTTGAATTTCAATCCCGGCAGTAAAATTAAAAAGAAACAATCGCCCTATCAAAAAATCTCCCAAAAGCAGCTCATCATCACGATTTTTGTCCCCTACTCTCAGAAACTTGCACTTGTGAGCTTAAAATCTGTGAATGTTTTAACCAATGCCAACCCACTGAACGGACTGTAGTTGCAACTTGGTTCTTTGTAACGCTTTGGGCACATTCTGCCATCACATTCTAATGAAATTGCCTCGCGTCAACAGTGTACTTGAAAACCTAAAAATGTGGTTAGCACATGAATCTGAATGGTGGACGCAATTCAGAGACGACTTGCATACACACAAAACTCCTTCAACACTCGGTCATTCCATCTGCTTATTGTAATTTTTAAGTGCATGAAGCACCCAAACCTCCCTCTGATGTAAACTTCAGTCGAACTCCGATGACCTCTACCTTATTCACTACTCGATAAACAGGTCGGCGTGGGACTCGATATGAAATTTTTTCTCTTAAAATGCGTCTAATAAACAAGTTTTTGTCTAGCAGACAGGTTAAATTTTAAACAAAGTTGGGTAAATGATACTTAAGGTAATTTGTTATTGGACACTAATTGCTAGGGTAACTTAAATTCACGGGTTAAAAATTGACAGGGCTACTGTAGGTACCTGGGTAGCTTCTATAAAACCACCATAACTCTAATAATAATAATAACAATCATAATAATAATAATAAATTGTTTGCAAATTAGATTCCATTCATTGTAAAAGTAACTACATTTACAACCAAACGAAATCTCATTGCGAGAACGCCGTGGAACTATGCAGCCCGTTTTCAGGCGCCTCTACGGTAGCTTACGAGTTTGCAGGATTTTATCACAACCCGAGAGTTATTATATCAGTTTCGCATTGAAAGAAGTTTTTGTTTGGCATGAATAAGTAGTTGACTGTGTTCTTAGTTTTTGGAAAAAGTAATAAGGCTGTTTTGTGATTTCCTGAACCTAAATCTCATTATTCTATTATTGAGTTCAACTTCGTATAAAGTTTGACTACCATAGAGTCCAATTCAGACGGTGCGAAATTTAAAACGCAACAGCAAAATTGCAAAAAGCCCAATGTGTATTTTTGATACTTTGCAAAATCCATTCGCTTGCTTTAGTAGACAGCAACATCATTTGATGACTTACCGGGAAACTAAATTTAGAAAAAGATAAGTCATAACAATGTTAGTCCTTCCTCACCATGGCAATGATAGTGTGTGAGGACCAGCTCTCATTTGACCTCTAGCTTCAGGTCTACCACAGCCTGACCAATTACGGCTGCAAAAGTGGTACCACAAAAAGTTCTAGTCGCAAAAAAGAGCTTCGCTCAATAAAATAACTCAGTCGAAGAGAAATTGACTATGCTTAGACAGGCTAGATAGCCTTTCATAGATCCTGTGCGAATCGCTGAAACCACAATTATAATTATAAAGAAATTTGCTCAGGTTTGCATCAAAAGCGTTAGTTAGTGTGATTTTACAGTTTCTTCAACCGTTTTTTAGGAAAGATTTGATACAAAATTTCTGATGATGCGTTATTTTCGTCGCCCTGTATAAGAGAACAGAGAGAAAACGCCCTTCGGAAAACTGAAAATCGTGCGTATTGAAAATGAAGAATTCTTACTTACTATTAGTCTACAGACTAGAAACGTTTTGTTTATAACACTGCAATCACCTCTAACTTGCAGTGGGAGTGGGCTAGAGCGGGGGAAACCTTCATGAGCAAAGAACCGAACAACGCGCGAAATTTTTTTCAACCAACCAGTGCTCATTTTTCAAATTCGGAATTAACAAGCGACAAATTCAATCAATTTTAGGCAGTTTAAAGGGCGTTGATTGGTTGAGATTTTTCGCGCACTTTGTTCTTAGCGCAAGCCGTTAGAGCAAGATCTATGGCTTTTAACAAATTTGAAAGAGCTTCGACGTTGAGACAGTCAAATGGCGTTAAAACTGCAATCGATATTTCAAAACTGCAATGTAAAATGATTGCGATTTTTCGGAGAATTTAAATTTTGCCTTAACTCAAGCGCACAATAGAAAAAAAATTGTTCAATAACAATTTGCCATGCATTTTTTCAGAGCAAAAACACAAAAAAAGCCGGCAAAAAGATAAACGCGAAACTTCAAATAAGTTTTTCGATTTAGTTTAAATTTGAAGGCCAGAAATTTTTCATAAATTTAATAAGTTGTCCGATAATTTTGTTAAAAGCTGAATCTGAATTGGCGTTTTCAGATTTTTAAGAGTAATGAACGTAGCGAAAACTTTTATATAGGTCTTGCTGATTTTTTTGTTTGTTTTTTTTCCGGAAAAAAATCTTAAAATATTGATGCACTTAAATATAATGCACTTTTTGACGTAAGCTGAAAGTGGCGTAAATAGCCCTCTCCAAATACGAACGTGGAAATGGCCAGAAAAAAAATGTGATCGATTTCTTGTTTCGAAAGTGGAATTTAATTTTTTAGATTTTCAGTGGATTAAAACTTTACCTATTGATCCAGTTTTCTCTAGTTGGGTTCATTTTATCAAAAAAGCTCCAATCAAAAATTGTTCTAGAAATTCAAAGGGGGCAAAGGGCATCTATTTTTTCTTTGAATTTTGAAAGTTGAGATTTTTTTCAGGAAAGTCAGTGCTTCTTTAAGTTTACTTGGGTTATTACTCTTTTCCAATCTTCGACTGGCTATGTTAGTTCATATAGCAGTCAATGAAATATGGTCTGAGATCAACAAATTAAATGTGGTCATTAAATTTGTTAGCAACCTGTTGAAAGTAGTTGAATACTCTCTTAAGCTAGCAAATTTTGTCACTTTACCGTTGCTCTCCTATAACATACTTTCTCAAGATGTCTCTGTGAAAACGAGTTTGATAGTTTTTTTTTCTAATGTTGCTTCTAGGTTCTAAAGACACTGTTCAACACGTACAAACTGATGTATGAGAAGAAACCGCAATGTTGGGACCTGGATCCAAAAGCAGTGTCCAACAATGAGCTGTTCGGGTATGTGGTTCCGGCTACCCAGGAGTGGTCGGATGGCCAGTTCTCCTGGATCATGAGGACTCTGGCTAACATCGAGGGCAATGCACCCAAGTGGATCATCCTGGACGGGGATATTGACCCAATGTGGATTGAGTCTCTCAACACTGTTATGGATGACAACAAGGTGGAGCTCAACATTAATTTCAATAGGAAGCAACATCAAAATAGTATCCTTGCCTACTGCAAAAAATTCTACTGTTTTATACACTTGTAACATAATATTGTCCTTAATTGTAAGACAAAAGTCAATTTTGTTGGAACCAATTGAGCTATATTCGTGTATTATAGAGAAGGAGCTGGAAATATTGTTTAATTTGCAAGATGGTTACACCATTTCATTATCGTCGTGTGTTAGGTGTTGACTCTGGCGTCCAATGAGCGCATCCCTCTGAGTCCCTCGATGCGTCTGATGTTCGAGATATCCCACCTGAAGACAGCCACTCCTGCCACTGTCTCCAGGGCAGGCATCCTCTTCATCAACGCCCTAGATGTTGGCTGGAAGCCGATGGTGGACAGCTGGGTAGAGACCAGGGAGAGCCCAGTCGAGAGAGGATACCTTCCCATCCTGTTCGACAAGGTGTCTTTAATCTTTTATGTTCACGACTTTTAAAAAATCATTATCAGGGAGACAGTTATTTAGAAGCTAGTTGTTAATGAAAGGAATCAAACTTATTAAATTCAATCTCTTTCCACAAAATAAAAAAATCTTCCCCATTTTCAATGGTCGGAACAAAAACAGCAAAACAAATTTTCATTTTAGAATATATAACAGTTTTCGTGACATTTGCACCCGGCTATTCACAGAGCTGTCTCTTGCGGAGCCTTTTTAGTTTTAAAAGCAGCTTAAAAGCAGCTACGGATTAAAAAAATAAAGCTCATTTTTGCATCTTTTTAGTTTAATGAATATTCCAGCAAGCGAAGCTAGCTTGAGTTGCTAGTTTGTATTTGATAAACTTATAAGACACTTCATAAAATGTTATCCATCAAACTAGTTTTATATTATTCTCGTAATGACCAACAATCTTTAGTACGTCAACATGTGTCTGGAAACACTCAAAGCCCGTGGCTACAAGAAAATCACACCGATAACAGACATAGCCCACGTAGAGATGCTGATCAAACTCCTCAGCAGTCTTCTAAAGCAAACGAGGAATCTACCAGTGGATCCGCCCAACCCCAAAGACCTCATTGAGCTGTACTTCGCATGGGCTTGTGCTTGGGCCTTCGGAGCCCAGTTGACTCACGACCAAAGTAAAGACTACAGAGAAATATTCTCCCAGTGGTTTGTAGGGGAGTGCAAACACCTGAAGTTCCCCCAGCAGGGCACGGTGTTTGACTACTTCTTGTACCAGGAGCCATACCCTGAGCAAAAGGGAAGACAAGAGCCAAAGTTCAACTGGCCAAAATTCGCTTCATGGAGTGAGAAAGTTAGGCCGTTTGAGTTGGATGAAGGCACTCCTGTTCAGGTTGGTAGCTCTGATTATAAATAATAACTAAATAAAGCGATTTCCAGTAGTATAACATGCGTTATAACAAACTTGGCATCAATTTGCTTACAGTAGAAATTACTGGTGTCAATTGAAACCGGAAAATCTGCCTAGGGTCAGCCACAAGCATTTTGCATTCCCTTAATTTCAATTGAATTGATGAGTGGGAAAAGCTGAGTTGTTTTTTATTATTTCATGCCGTTTGAGAAATTGAACTGCAGATAGAGGAAACTGGCTGTTTCGAAATAAAATCAGCTGGTTAGTCCGCAGAATCAAATTTGATACAATCATAGGTGTAGCTGAGATCATGTGCTCTTCGTCAAGGTGACAATTTAATTCAAATTCTATGTAATTATTGTCCAAATGGGTTCTTGAAAATAGGTATTTCAGAGAGTAAAAACCTAATTTTGTGATTTTTTTAATCCACGATAGAAATAAAACTATCAGTTCGAACATTTGAATTTTGTTCGTAAAATCTCCAATTAAAACAAAAATTAATAATTGTTATAGGCTATGCTGGTGCATACCGTCGAAACAGTGCGTCTTCGTTACTTCATGGACCTTCTCATGGACGAGTGTCGCTTCCCAGTTATGCTTGTGGGGGGAAGTGGGTGTGGAAAGACACTCCTCATCAAGGACAAACTGGCAGCCTACGAGTCTGAACTGACCATCTCCGCCAATGTCCCTTTCAACTTCTACACAACTTCTGAGATGTTGCAGCGGGTGCTGGAGAAACCCCTGGAGAAGAAAGCGGGCAGGTCTTTTGGTCCTCCGGGCACCAAGAGACTGGTATACTTTGTGGATGATATGAACATGCCAGAGGTAAGTTTTATAAACAACTTTCAGAGAAGATTGCCCGGTCTTTTTTGTTTAAGTGTTATGAAAAAAACTAAAAAACCGATTTTTGTTAGGCCTTGAAATTCTGATCTGAGGTTCGATTTAACTTATGCATGCTGCTTTTTTGTTTTTTTTAAATGGTTTTAGCGGTTAGACCTTGAATATAGTTTTTGAAATTCTTTTTGACTGAAGCTCAAAACTACCGGTCAAAATGCAGTAGCAGTAAGAAAGTAGCCGTTAGCCATGCATGACTCACAGATTCTTACGACCTCATCTATCGGTGCCATAAAGCTTTCCTTAAATTGACAAAAAGTATTCCCCAAGACAAAAAGTGTAATGTTTTAATGGAAGAGCTCACTTTTCCAAATACAGATATCGCTCCGAGCCTGAGCCTCATTTTATGAACCTCACCTAAATGGTCACAAGAAAAACCTAACTTTTAATTCTTGGGGAAATAATTGATGAAACCGTGTGTAATAAAAAAACCGAGTTACGTAAATTACATCAAAATAATGCAACAATTGCATAACATCAGTGACAATCTATAAGAATGGTAATCTTATATTCATTTGTTGGAATTTCGGCTTGTTGGCCTACCACCTGATGAAATGAACTTAAGAAGAAATTGGAAACGTTGATTTGACGCAAAAGAACGTGAACGACTTCTAAAATCGAAGATGGATTTCAGTTCTTAGATTTCTGAGCGGAACGAAAATTAATTATTGATTCAGTCCTCTCCAATTAAACTTATTTTATCAAAAACATCATATTCATAAATTAATTTTGACATTTGAAAAGTATTTGACAATCGATTTCATAGATCCTGTGCGAATCGCTGAAACCACAATTATAATTATAAAGAAATTTGCTCAGGTTTGCATCAAAAGCGTTAGTTAGTGTGATTTTACAGTTTCTTCAACCGTTTTTTAGGAAAGATTTGATACAAAATTTCTGATGATGCGTTATTTTCGTCGCCCTGTATAAGAGAACAGAGAGAAAACGCCCTTCGGAAAACTGAAAATCGTGCGTATTGAAAATGAAGAATTCTTACTTACTATTAGTCTACAGACTAGAAACGTTTTGTTTATAACACTGCAATCACCTCTAACTTGCAGTGGGAGTGGGCTAGAGCGGGGGAAACCTTCATGAGCAAAGAACCGAACAACGCGCGAAATTTTTTTCAACCAACCAGTGCTCATTTTTCAAATTCGGAATTAACAAGCGACAAATTCAATCAATTTTAGGCAGTTTAAAGGGCGTTGATTGGTTGAGATTTTTCGCGCACTTTGTTCTTAGCGCAAGCCGTTAGAGCAAGATCTATGGCTTTTAACAAATTTGAAAGAGCTTCGACGTTGAGACAGTCAAATGGCGTTAAAACTGCAATCGATATTTCAAAACTGCAATGTAAAATGATTGCGATTTTTCGGAGAATTTAAATTTTGCCTTAACTCAAGCGCACAATAGAAAAAAAATTGTTCAATAACAATTTGCCATGCATTTTTTCAGAGCAAAAACACAAAAAAAGCCGGCAAAAAGATAAACGCGAAACTTCAAATAAGTTTTTCGATTTAGTTTAAATTTGAAGGCCAGAAATTTTTCATAAATTTAATAAGTTGTCCGATAATTTTGTTAAAAGCTGAATCTGAATTGGCGTTTTCAGATTTTTAAGAGTAATGAACGTAGCGAAAACTTTTATATAGGTCTTGCTGATTTTTTTGTTTGTTTTTTTTCCGGAAAAAAATCTTAAAATATTGATGCACTTAAATATAATGCACTTTTTGACGTAAGCTGAAAGTGGCGTAAATAGCCCTCTCCAAATACGAACGTGGAAATGGCCAGAAAAAAAATGTGATCGATTTCTTGTTTCGAAAGTGGAATTTAATTTTTTAGATTTTCAGTGGATTAAAACTTTACCTATTGATCCAGTTTTCTCTAGTTGGGTTCATTTTATCAAAAAAGCTCCAATCAAAAATTGTTCTAGAAATTCAAAGGGGGCAAAGGGCATCTATTTTTTCTTTGAATTTTGAAAGTTGAGATTTTTTTCAGGAAAGTCAGTGCTTCTTTAAGTTTACTTGGGTTATTACTCTTTTCCAATCTTCGACTGGCTATGTTAGTTCATATAGCAGTCAATGAAATATGGTCTGAGATCAACAAATTAAATGTGGTCATTAAATTTGTTAGCAACCTGTTGAAAGTAGTTGAATACTCTCTTAAGCTAGCAAATTTTGTCACTTTACCGTTGCTCTCCTATAACATACTTTCTCAAGATGTCTCTGTGAAAACGAGTTTGATAGTTTTTTTTTCTAATGTTGCTTCTAGGTTCTAAAGACACTGTTCAACACGTACAAACTGATGTATGAGAAGAAACCGCAATGTTGGGACCTGGATCCAAAAGCAGTGTCCAACAATGAGCTGTTCGGGTATGTGGTTCCGGCTACCCAGGAGTGGTCGGATGGCCAGTTCTCCTGGATCATGAGGACTCTGGCTAACATCGAGGGCAATGCACCCAAGTGGATCATCCTGGACGGGGATATTGACCCAATGTGGATTGAGTCTCTCAACACTGTTATGGATGACAACAAGGTGGAGCTCAACATTAATTTCAATAGGAAGCAACATCAAAATAGTATCCTTGCCTACTGCAAAAAATTCTACTGTTTTATACACTTGTAACATAATATTGTCCTTAATTGTAAGACAAAAGTCAATTTTGTTGGAACCAATTGAGCTATATTCGTGTATTATAGAGAAGGAGCTGGAAATATTGTTTAATTTGCAAGATGGTTACACCATTTCATTATCGTCGTGTGTTAGGTGTTGACTCTGGCGTCCAATGAGCGCATCCCTCTGAGTCCCTCGATGCGTCTGATGTTCGAGATATCCCACCTGAAGACAGCCACTCCTGCCACTGTCTCCAGGGCAGGCATCCTCTTCATCAACGCCCTAGATGTTGGCTGGAAGCCGATGGTGGACAGCTGGGTAGAGACCAGGGAGAGCCCAGTCGAGAGAGGATACCTTCCCATCCTGTTCGACAAGGTGTCTTTAATCTTTTATGTTCACGACTTTTAAAAAATCATTATCAGGGAGACAGTTATTTAGAAGCTAGTTGTTAATGAAAGGAATCAAACTTATTAAATTCAATCTCTTTCCACAAAATAAAAAAATCTTCCCCATTTTCAATGGTCGGAACAAAAACAGCAAAACAAATTTTCATTTTAGAATATATAACAGTTTTCGTGACATTTGCACCCGGCTATTCACAGAGCTGTCTCTTGCGGAGCCTTTTTAGTTTTAAAAGCAGCTTAAAAGCAGCTACGGATTAAAAAAATAAAGCTCATTTTTGCATCTTTTTAGTTTAATGAATATTCCAGCAAGCGAAGCTAGCTTGAGTTGCTAGTTTGTATTTGATAAACTTATAAGACACTTCATAAAATGTTATCCATCAAACTAGTTTTATATTATTCTCGTAATGACCAACAATCTTTAGTACGTCAACATGTGTCTGGAAACACTCAAAGCCCGTGGCTACAAGAAAATCACACCGATAACAGACATAGCCCACGTAGAGATGCTGATCAAACTCCTCAGCAGTCTTCTAAAGCAAACGAGGAATCTACCAGTGGATCCGCCCAACCCCAAAGACCTCATTGAGCTGTACTTCGCATGGGCTTGTGCTTGGGCCTTCGGAGCCCAGTTGACTCACGACCAAAGTAAAGACTACAGAGAAATATTCTCCCAGTGGTTTGTAGGGGAGTGCAAACACCTGAAGTTCCCCCAGCAGGGCACGGTGTTTGACTACTTCTTGTACCAGGAGCCATACCCTGAGCAAAAGGGAAGACAAGAGCCAAAGTTCAACTGGCCAAAATTCGCTTCATGGAGTGAGAAAGTTAGGCCGTTTGAGTTGGATGAAGGCACTCCTGTTCAGGTTGGTAGCTCTGATTATAAATAATAACTAAATAAAGCGATTTCCAGTAGTATAACATGCGTTATAACAAACTTGGCATCAATTTGCTTACAGTAGAAATTACTGGTGTCAATTGAAACCGGAAAATCTGCCTAGGGTCAGCCACAAGCATTTTGCATTCCCTTAATTTCAATTGAATTGATGAGTGGGAAAAGCTGAGTTGTTTTTTATTATTTCATGCCGTTTGAGAAATTGAACTGCAGATAGAGGAAACTGGCTGTTTCGAAATAAAATCAGCTGGTTAGTCCGCAGAATCAAATTTGATACAATCATAGGTGTAGCTGAGATCATGTGCTCTTCGTCAAGGTGACAATTTAATTCAAATTCTATGTAATTATTGTCCAAATGGGTTCTTGAAAATAGGTATTTCAGAGAGTAAAAACCTAATTTTGTGATTTTTTTAATCCACGATAGAAATAAAACTATCAGTTCGAACATTTGAATTTTGTTCGTAAAATCTCCAATTAAAACAAAAATTAATAATTGTTATAGGCTATGCTGGTGCATACCGTCGAAACAGTGCGTCTTCGTTACTTCATGGACCTTCTCATGGACGAGTGTCGCTTCCCAGTTATGCTTGTGGGGGGAAGTGGGTGTGGAAAGACACTCCTCATCAAGGACAAACTGGCAGCCTACGAGTCTGAACTGACCATCTCCGCCAATGTCCCTTTCAACTTCTACACAACTTCTGAGATGTTGCAGCGGGTGCTGGAGAAACCCCTGGAGAAGAAAGCGGGCAGGTCTTTTGGTCCTCCGGGCACCAAGAGACTGGTATACTTTGTGGATGATATGAACATGCCAGAGGTAAGTTTTATAAACAACTTTCAGAGAAGATTGCCCGGTCTTTTTTGTTTAAGTGTTATGAAAAAAACTAAAAAACCGATTTTTGTTAGGCCTTGAAATTCTGATCTGAGGTTCGATTTAACTTATGCATGCTGCTTTTTTGTTTTTTTTAAATGGTTTTAGCGGTTAGACCTTGAATATAGTTTTTGAAATTCTTTTTGACTGAAGCTCAAAACTACCGGTCAAAATGCAGTAGCAGTAAGAAAGTAGCCGTTAGCCATGCATGACTCACAGATTCTTACGACCTCATCTATCGGTGCCATAAAGCTTTCCTTAAATTGACAAAAAGTATTCCCCAAGACAAAAAGTGTAATGTTTTAATGGAAGAGCTCACTTTTCCAAATACAGATATCGCTCCGAGCCTGAGCCTCATTTTATGAACCTCACCTAAATGGTCACAAGAAAAACCTAACTTTTAATTCTTGGGGAAATAATTGATGAAACCGTGTGTAATAAAAAAACCGAGTTACGTAAATTACATCAAAATAATGCAACAATTGCATAACATCAGTGACAATCTATAAGAATGGTAATCTTATATTCATTTGTTGGAATTTCGGCTTGTTGGCCTACCACCTGATGAAATGAACTTAAGAAGAAATTGGAAACGTTGATTTGACGCAAAAGAACGTGAACGACTTCTAAAATCGAAGATGGATTTCAGTTCTTAGATTTCTGAGCGGAACGAAAATTAATTATTGATTCAGTCCTCTCCAATTAAACTTATTTTATCAAAAACATCATATTCATAAATTAATTTTGACATTTGAAAAGTATTAATGCCGTATAATGTTTTCTTAATAATTAGAAAATTGAGAATTTTTTCGAAAACACGTCAGATTTTTTTTAATGTTTCCTTGCGTTCATTGACTTTTTCCCCATTGTTCGCTATATTTATGCAGAAACTAACAATTTATCTGATAAATAAGGTCTCTATGCATTGTAAAATGTTTTGAAGAAGCAGAAACTTGATGCTCGCTTCACCATCACAGTATTTTTTCCAAAAAAGACAGCAATATCCCCCACCTAACTCAGTCAGACTAAAGCTAAGAATGAAACATAGTGAAGACCCTGATATAGGTCAGTATTGTTTTTTCGTAACGATGTTAAACTGTGCAGTGGATAGTCTCTTAATCGGGCGTCTAGGTCACTGGAATCCAGAGACAAGTCTTTAATATTGAGTTGGAACTCTACCTGAAAGCATGTCGAATTAGCAGGTCAAAGTAGCACGTCAAATTTACTTGACTCCCTACTTAATGTTTTTAGAAGATGAGATGACAAATTAAGCACTTTGCAGCAGTTCTGAGCAATGAATTTTTCGAGTTTTCTAGCACAAGTTTTGTTGTTTTAAAAGTAATCAAAAGTTTTGATTGTATCAAACAGGTCAAATTGCCGTTTTTGTTCAGTTTTTAGATAATTTTGACTTTAAAATGCGTATTTTTTATCGCGTGCTCATTACGGAGCCAAACTGTGTTTTTTGGAAAATTTAAGAAGATTCCGCAACAAGGACGCTCCCTTTGTTCTTCCTTTGTTTTTTCATTATTGATGTTTTTTTAAAGACTTGTCTCTGGAACATAGACACAAAATTGTGCACCTATCCAGTGCACAGTTTGGCCTCGGATTGTTCCATTTCAAAATTACTATACATCAGCGCCGCAGTTGCCATGAGACAAATTGTAGGGTTGGTTAGCCAAAAGATGGATGTCATGAAAAAATACCAAAGGGGGACTCTTTGGTTGGTGAGGGCGTCGAATCCTGAGAGGGTCGAGTCCCTAAATTCGCCCCCCGGTTGGCAATATCCGTTTAAGTCAGCAAATCTGATTCAAGTTAGTTAACCTTGCATTGTCCATTTTGTGATCAGTTCTTAACTGATTTGAGCCCGTAGAAAACATTAGCGAAAATCCAATTAACTTAAAAAGACCATTTTGACCGTTTTACTTGCCCATGGTTGCCGATATGGCCAGCAAATTGTCACTAATCGTTCACAGGGTACTGGAATTTTTCAACCTCGATTGCTATAATTCATTACTTTTTTGAAGTAATTTTCGCAATTGGGTTGAGTCTGGTCAATCAAGCATTTGAAGAAGTGACATATCTCAGGGATTTTTTTAGCGCAATCAAGCTCTCTAATTATTAGGACCGGCCATGTAATTGAGGCAAAAACAAATTCCTGTTTGATTTAGTAAACATGTATTATGAAAACGTTTTTTTTTTCCGGATGAGATCTGGTTTTTTTTTTTTTTTTTTTTTTTTTTTTTTTGAGACGCTTTTTCGAAAAATTCGGTTTCCCAAAAAACTACCCGTCAGATTCTCATAAAAGTGGTACCAATGGATTCAGTAGCGTTTCACCTACCTGCCTGCATGAAATTTAGGGCAATTTTTACCCTACCCCACCCCCTACGGTCTTGGAAAAGCTTCACAACTCGGTACTTTTTTCACTTTTTGCCCATTATTTCGGAAATTTTCGATTTCCTCAAAAACTACCTGTCCAGATTTGAGATTAAGAGTTTAATCGATAGACCTGGTTGTAGGAAACTCCCATGCACAAGCGGCTGGTCCCTAATTTGCTTAGGGGAAGAGCTATAGACTTAGGAAAAGTCACTTTTTTGATTTTTTTTTTGCCTAATTTTTCGGAAATTATCGATTTCCTCAAAAAATACCCATCCAGATTTGGAATTAAGGGTTTAATCGATAGACCAGGTTGTAGGAAACTCCCCCGCACAAGCGGCTGGTCCTTAACTTGCCTGGGGGAAGAGCTATAGACTTAGGAAAAGTCACTTTTTTGACTTTTTTGGCCTTTTTTCAAATCTTTCCGATTTCCTTAAAAACTACCCGTCCAGATTTGGGATTAAGGGTTTAATCGATAGACCAGGTTGTAGGAACCCCCCCTACACAAACGGCTCGTACCTAATTTGTCTAGGGGAAGAGCTATACACTTAGGAATAGTCAATTTTTCGGTTTTTAGGCCATTTTTTCAAACTTTTTCGATTTCTTCAAAAACTACCCATCCAGATTTGGGATTAAGGGTTTAATCGATAGGCCAGGTTGTAGGAAACTTCCCTGCCCAAGCGGCTGGTCCTTAATTTGTCTCGGGGAAGAGCTGTACACTTAGGAAAAAAAATTTTAAAAGTTTTTTGGCATTGGAACAAAGATTCAATATACTTATTGTGTGTGTTTTTTAGACAATGGAATCCGCTATGCTTACGTTTTCTCCTTTTTGCTAATTCGATTTCATCAAAAATTGGTATAACGTTTTTTCTGAAATAACCAAACAGGTCTCTCTAGCTTCCAGCTGGGCCCCTATTGTCTAGGGAAACAAACACCTATGGACTTGAAAAGTTCCCTCATGAAAACTTTTTACCAAAGCGTTACAAATGAATGCATAAGCTTCTCTTTCACTTTTTTGCGTAGGAAGGGCGCTATCGACTTGAGAAACTTGAAATTTTAAAACAATTTTAAAATAATCAATTTTAAAATAATCAAACAGGTCTCTCCAGCTTTCAGCTGGGCCCCTAGTCTTCAATGCCCTTCCTGGAAATTTTTATTAATCAAAATAGTTATATTGATGGTACAGCTCTGAACTTTAAAATGAATTGGTTTGTGTCATTTCTAAAAAGTAAACGACGACAACCATCTTACCTGCGTTAAATCTGTTTTGTTTTACTTTATTCATTGAACAATAACTTTAATCGCCTTTGTCCAATTCTGTTTCTTTCAAACAATCTATTCCGGAATGACGCCAATAACCACTGGATTCTTGGCTTGTTTGCAACAGATCTCTAACAATTGCATGATGCATTTAAACAGATCACTTCTCAGGAATTGATGCGAGGGATCATTTTTCACTTTTTGGAATTTTTTAATGCTTGCAAGGTGAAAAAGCTCTCCGTTTGAACAAAAAGCGAAACATTTCTTGAATAATTGAAACAAGCGAAGTTTTTTTTGCTGAGAATTTCAACCTCTCATGAAAATATTTGAACCCAAAGAATGGCTTGCTAGAAGGGGTGGAACTGGGATTAAGCGACAGGGAGCAGGTATTTTTTTTTGAAATTACAATGATCGCCAATAAAATTTATCCCTGCACTTTCCTACAGCGCAAAAAAAACACCTTTTTTAGATTTTTTTTTCGGTATTTTAAGATTGCTTTCATCTAGGAAAAAAAATCATTTTTTGGCACACTCTGTCTAAAAATAGCAATGATAGATTTTTTTCTGTGCAAAAAATTATGTGCATATAAGGCAAACAAGATAGTGGAAAAACAGTAGATTGTACCATTGTAGAATGATGCATCACATTCAGGCATTTGCAGTCGGTGAAATGTTTAAAAAACTCGAACGTTAGCTCCGTGTCTAAGTGTCTGAATTTTCAGCAGTGCTGATGATTTTGCAGCTACGTTAATTTTGAAGTTTTTGCCATTGAGAAACTTTTAATGAATCTAACCCAGTTTTGGTTTGGTTATCCAAAAATTTTTCCGGAACATCTGAATTTTTTGATGATGTAAATCTGTGTTTGGACGTAGATCAAAATCCTAATTCAATTACAGCAATCGCTCAAAGTTTTTTAGATGGTTTTTGCAGCTCGATTATTTTTTTTGGGAAAAACTTTGAATTCTCTCAAAAAACTTTTTATGTTTGCCGATTATTAGTTTCTTATAACCGTATTATTTATTGTATACATCTCACATCTCGTATAACTATATAATCTTATATCGTATAACGGTTTTGTCGTATATCGTTTAACGCGTACAAAACTCTTTTCTATCAACCAACCTTCTACCCCCCCCCCCCCCCCACGCATTTGAATTTCAAGTTCGGTAAAGCTAGACTTTAACGTTGTCGTAGTGCAATACGTGATTTTTTGGGTAACAAATTTTTGGTCTGGTTTTTGAAAATTGTGCCTGCGGAGCAAAAAAATTGACCGAAACAGGGTCTTTTTACTGCTTTTGGAGAGCCCGGAAAAATTATAATAATCACAATAAATTGTTCCAAAGCACTAAAAAGACCCTGTTTTAGCCAATCTTTCTGCATCGCAACTGAAATTTTGAAAAACCAGACCAAAAAAGCGTTTTTAGGGACTTTTTGGAAAATTTTACCAAAAAATCGCGTTTTTTCCCCTAAATCCGTCCGTGACCTTCAGCCATTTTCACCTTAACCTTCACCCATTATAAACGTTAAAACAACAATGAAACTGGAAAGTTTTAAAAATATATTGGAGAGGGGCGTGGAGTCTTTTGTATTTATCTGATTTATAAATATCCAATGAACATTCAATGTTTAGGTGGACAAGTACTTCACAGTGCAGCCACACACTATTCTGAGACAGTGTATAGACTATGGCCACTGGTACGACAGACACAAGCCAGGCACCATCAAGGACATACACGAAGTGCAGTTCGCAGCTGCCATGAACCCCACCTCTGGGTCTTTCACTATCGATGCCAGACTACAGGTAATGTATGGTCTTCATTCACGACACAGGCGAAAAACCGACACAACGGGTTTTATTAACATGGAAGAAATTTCGGTTTAAACTGTCGAATTTTGTCTACTAGGAACCATGGGGGGGGGGAGCTAACAAGATCCAATGAGATGGGACCACAGGCAACATACCTTGTCCCTCTACCTCGAAACCCTCTCGATACAATTCCCGAGGTGCCCTTAGAAAAAAAATTGTGCCAGCCTAAAGTTGATAACGAAAAATGGTACCAAATGGGAGAATTTTGGGTAGCAAGGGTGTGGAATTGTTGATGGAAGCGTCCTGTTCCCCCAGTTCGCTTACATTCTTGCCTGGTTTTGTTATTCTTTTTTCAAGGCCATTAAAATTCAAAGATTTTTCCTAGATGCAAGACTAAGTCGTAGGTATTAGTCAATTAGTTGGGAATCATGACATCTTTATTCACATCATTTTAATAAAAAAGAATATATTATAACTAGTTTCCAGCTTTTATAGATTATGCATCTGTGCAGTGCATACTAAAAAGTATTATTTTATCTGTTTTGAAGTTTAAAGAACTGTTTTTTCGCAATGTCAGCATCAAGACTGCTTTGGGTGTTTTTATCTATGGTTTCCTTGTATGTTTCAGCGCCACTTTGCGGTGTTTTCGGTGTCGTTTCCGAGTGACGAGGCCTGCACAACTATTTATCAGAACATACTCTCTCAGCACATGCAGTCCCTCAATGCTCACGGAAGTAAGTACACGCTAACTATACAAGCCACATTATCAGGAGGAATCCTATATATAAACAATTCGGAAATTCCTGTTGCCCAAAAGTATTTTCTTAATAAAGTATGCGCGTAATATTGAAATTTAATTATAAATGCAGATTTCGGCTGAAATTAGACTTTTTTCACTTCGTCGATCTAAAATTTTAACGAATTGAGACAACTAATTCAGCAATACTTTTCGTCAAAGTTAGTCATTGATAACTCCAAGGTTAATTCACCCGATATTGAAACTACGGCTCTTTTCTAGTTCCTATCTTTGATTTTTTGAAATTATTTTTATGGAAGCCTTCTTGAAATGACTTTTGATGTTTTAATCTGCAATAAAACATTTGTCAGCTTGAACCAGAGAATATTTTTCCCAATATTTCCAAGATGAAAATTGTCGTCTGAACAATTTTTGAACAACTTTATATTATCAGTTTACGAGGTGGGAAACTTAGAAAGAGCCGAAATTACTCTAGTGGTCAAATTAAGCTAAAAATTAGTTTTTTTACCATCTAAATTTATTTGTTGTAAATGTCCATTTTGGACATTATTTCTTTCGAATATTAGGGAAAAAAATTATAGACCAAAAGCAAATGATCCGACAAAACCTTTGTAAAACTAGCTTTGTTTGGTTTCAAAAACTTACTAAAGTACTCGTTTAGAAACATGGTCCCACTGTTTTTGTGATTGCTATTGAAAAAGCTCGATATTTAAGAGTAATGAACAAAGTGGGTACCTCTATATAGGTTTTGATGATTTTGTTCGATTTTTTTCAGCAAAAGTCTTAAAAGTCTCTAATAACTACAGATGTGAATTCATACATATTGATGCATTTATGAATGCATTTAGGTATAATGCACTTTTTGAAATCATTTGAAATTCATCTGCTGAAAGTGACGTAAATAGCACTCTCCAAACACGAACGTGAAAATGGTGCGAAAAAACGTGAACGAGTTCTAGTTTCGAAAATGGTTTTTTCTTTTTAGATTTCTCAGCGGAAGAAAACTTTTCCTGATGATCCATTTTCTCGATATAAGTTAATCAAAAAGCTCTCAATCATAAATTGTTCAAGAGTAATGAACGTAGTAAGTACTCTTTTACAGGTCTTGCGGATTTTTTTTTTTTTTTTTTTTTAGGAAAATGTCTTAAAAATTTTTTACGCTCAGTTTTGATTTTTCGTTGTTTGGCTTGTGATTTTCTTAAACTCAAAGCGTTTTCATTGTTAAAAAGAAAGCAAACTCCGCTATTAAACAGCAAAATTGTAAAGATCATGGAAAACGTGTTCGACTTCTAATGTCGAAAATGGAAACTAATTATCAGATTTCCCAACGAAATAATTTTTTATCTATTGATCCAGTTTTCTCTATTTTGGTCAATTTGAACCAAAAGGCGTCCATCATAAATTTTTTTACTCTTTCAAAGAGCTCTAAGACATTTATTTTTCTTTGAAATTTTAAAGTTGAAGGTTTTTGAAAAGTTAAGTCAGTTTTTAGTTTGTTTATTTTTACTCCGTTCATTACTCTTTTCCAACTGTCAGTTGGCTATGTTTTAGAAATATGGTCGCGCTTGGCCACTTGAAATATTATTGAAATATTTCAAGTGGATGAAAACAAAAAAACGTGAAAATTTGATTATATTCTATGGTCGTGTACTAAATGAAATTATCAAAATATTCAGTTTAATGGCAAAATAGAAACAATAAAACTAAATTAAATAGCTTTTTAACTGACTGTTATATGGGATCATTTTTCTAAAAGAGGTTCGGATCAGGGCTATTTTTCTAAACGAGTTCCCTTGCCCGTCTAATCCAGGTCTGATAGTACACTACACCATTATGCCTAAATTTTCTACTCATCTTCTTCAAAAAAGTTTTACAAATGGTGAAAACTCATTACTAAAAAGTGAAAACTCATTACAAATAGTAAAAACTAGCATTTTTAGACCCGGAAAAAACTGGTGATTCAACTCAAAAATTTAGATTTTCAGAGAGGGTAGTTCAGATTGTTTGCTGTTGGTTGATGCAAAAGTTTTTGAAAAATTCTATTTTAAAGCTGTCGAAAAGTTCTTTGAATAAGAGAGGGATTTTGGAGAGTAAAATGGCAAATTTGTGTTTAATTTTGTCCACTGGTTTTACCAGATTTCCTCATCTGCACTAAGTTTTGATCGGCGTGAACTCTTTTTTGAAAAAACGGAGAAAAACAATTTTTCATGCGGCGCGAAAAATTCTCAGCGCGAAAATTGAATTACGCTGTTTTGCGTAAAAACTTTAATTAATTCGACTGTTTCTCACATTTTCACACGGTTTGAAAATCCTAGCGCAGATAAGGTAATCTGGCTTTTTCAGACTCATATTAACTTGGTAAGTCTTCGAAACCAGATAATGATAATTTCATAGAGCGTATCTCTGATCGTTTGCTCTTGGTCTACGTAAAAATTTAACTAAAATTCGAGGTAATTGTTGTCCAAAATTGACATTGACCAGGCATTTTAGAGAGTAAAAATCTGAACTTTTGCCTAAATGTGTCCGCTAGTTTACCTTTTCACTTCTTGTTACTTGTAGGTCTGGTGAAGTTTGTGCCGACCATTGTGGAGGCGGCGCTCTCTCTTCACTCGAGAGTGAGTCAGACATTCCTGCCCACAGCTGTCAAGTTCCATTACATCTTCAACCTCAGAGATCTCTCCAACGTATTCCAGGTAGCATCATACACGCACACAACAAACACACACCCAAGCACACACACACACATACATGCACATAGTTTATGCTTATTGTTAAGTGTTGACTAATGAACCGATATTGAACCGATACGTCGTATGATTTTTTGTGTTTTTTTCAAGAAAAGTTTTAGAAGTTGTCTATAAACTTGTTATCACGACTTAACTTTTTTTAAAAAAGCTATTCAAACTCATTTGGTGCATAAAAGTCAAACACGACTGCTATGCATCAATTAAGGTCGATAAAAAGATTTTTGTTCAAAAAAATTTATTGAGACCTGTGCAAAAAATTCATTGTTTTTCATTTTTATTGTCAAGGATAAAAGAATGAGGTGATTGTCACCTATATAGGCCGTCTTGATTTTAAGATTGTTTTTCGGGAAAAAATCTAAATTTTGCTCATGTTCTATTTAGATTTTTTTTCGGTTTGAAGTTTGAGTTTTTAAGCTAAGTTCATTTACTTTTGCTGTTCGATAGTGAAAGTCACTAAAAGTTTGAACGAATTCCGTTTCAAAAAAAGAATTTCAATTATCTTAAATCACAGTGAAAAAAAACCTATTGATCTAGTTGTCTCCAGAAAAAAAATGGGATAATTTTATTAACTGTTGATGCAGTTGTCTCTAAATAGGATGTTTTTTTTTAGAAAATTTGGGTCAACTTAAATATTTTTGATCCAAAAAAGTTATCCATTGATGCAATTTTCTCTAAATTTGATGAATTTATGAAATCTGAAAGTTAAAAGTTTAACAGGACAAAACATATTGCGCTGTTTTTATCCCAAGTTGAATAACGGGCAAATTGGTCCCAAATTCAAGAAGAAATGATTGCATGTGAATATTTTTTTCCAATATTTTACATCAATATCCTTCAGATTGAGTTTGATTGGAACCAGAACTAACCGATTTTATTTTTCTGTCTTTTTTCCAAGGGAATCAATTACGCTCTTCAATAACAAAAGAGCAAAGACGCAAAGAAATAAAACTTAGCGTCCACATTCCCCAATTGAGCTGAAAAATTTCTCTTCAATCCAGTTTTTACAATTTGCTTCAATTTTATTAGGATTTCGTTGATCATTGAAGGCTTATGAAGTTGTAAGTGATTCTAATTATTGTTTTGAAATTCAAAAAATTCTTTTAAAGTCAGGTCGTTATTTTTATGAAATTTTCATTTTTATAAATAACTTTCATGAAATCAACCGTACAATCCCCCCCCCCCCTAAGTGACGAACCGTAGAATTTGCCCTCTAGCTGCTAATTAAATTTGAAAAAAATTCTGTGTAATATATGGATTTTGAAGAAACGCGCCGATAAATTTGGTTTCATAAATTTTACCGGGGATTGCATTTGAATGCTGTTAATAACCTAAGCTAACGTATTTTAAATAAATTTTCTCTAAATAAACTTAATTTTCTAAAAATCTAACTAAAGTATGCCCAAAGTATTACCTGAAAAATCCATGTTTTCTCTCCCCTAAATCAAATAGGGGGTCTTTTTACTTATACCGACCAAAATCAATATTTCAACATCTTGAATTGAAACTATTTTGCTTCAATCTGATTGGCCAAAATTGGCCAATCAAATTTCAGCACCTCAAAAATTTTGTTCAGAATATCAAGTCGAATTATAAATAAATCGAATTAGCCTAAAATGAAGAATGTTTGGTAAACTATTCAAAATTATTTCAAATACGCTCCAGAGCTTTACCCGGATAAGAAAAGAAACAGAAAACAGCGCCAGGGAAAAATGACCATCCTCGTATCTGCTCATAATTCGGCCTGGTTTGAAGTCGGCTTAAGATTAAAGTGATTGCATTTGTATTAAGTAAATCAACCAGTGCTATCAGTGTTTTCCTTTGCCTTTATACATTGAAAATTACAAAATCGCAAAAGTAAGAGTTTTGGGCAGAATAAGTAAAACGACCTCAAGGGGGGGGGGAATTGTACGGTTAATCACTTTCATGAAACATTAGCCTTTTTCCAACTGTTTGTTCGGATATGTTGTTAAATATTGGGACACTTCAAAAATGCTTTCTATTGCTGAAAATGCCCAAATTGGCCAAAAGGGCAATCTTCAACCCCCCATAACTTTACAAAAAAAGATCAAACGTGAAATACCTTTTTAACTCTAGGCTCAAGACAACACTACCGTGTGATTGATTTTTAAAAGTCCGTTAACAAAAATGGCTAGTTAAAAAGTCTAAAAATCTCATTCACTGTTGAAAAGACTTCAATATAATGCCGCACACTTGCCCCTCTTCGAGCTCTTTTTGGGGTAGTCAGAATTGGCATTGATAAAAATCAACCCTACGCTATAATTCCTCGCACAATTAAAGCTTTAAAGCTTTAAAGTTTTCAACAAACATCTGAAACGTTTATTACACCGAAGACTTTAGTCAAGGTGTTATGGTATCGTGTAACGGTTTTTTTTAAATGTTGTCTGTTGTCAAGTGTCGACAAATAACGTCCACAGTTATCAATTATCATGTGGGCTGGACTATATCGCGCTATGTCACGTGATTGCGTATGTTTGTTTCTTTATTTGTTCATCTTTATTTATTTAATTATCTGTTCTTCTATTTATTTAATTATGTTTAGTTTGCTTATATTTATTTATTTATTTATTTATTTATGTATTTATTTATGTATTTATTTATTTATTTATGTATTGATTTATTTTTTTATTGCTTATTTATTTATCAGGTGTGTTTTGTTTATTTGTTGATATTTATTTCTATATTTATTTAATTATTCTTTCTTTCATTTAGTTTTGCTTTTATTATTTATGTATGTGTATTTATTTCATTTATTTATTTTCATTTATTCATATTATGGGTCTGTTTGTTTGGTTATTTGTTCATATATATTTTTTCATGTCTATTTAATTATTTGTACATTTCACTTTTGCTTTTATATATTTATATATTTATTTATTTATGTATTCATTTATGTATTTATTTATTTATTTATGTATTGATTTATTTTTTTATTGCTTATTTATTTATCAGGTGTGTTTTGTTTATTTGTTGATATTTATTTCTATATTTATTTAATTATTCTTTCTTTCATTTAGTTTTGCTTTTATTATTTATGTATGTGTATTTATTTAATTCATTTACTTTCATTTATTTATATTATGGGTCTGTTTGTTTGGTTATTTGTTCATGAGATATATATTTTTTCATGTTAATTTAATTATTTGTACATTTCAGTTTTGCGTTTATTTATTTATTTATTTATGTATGTATTTATTTATTTATGTATTGATTTATTTTTTTATTGTTTATTTATTTATCAGGTGTGTTTTGTTTATTCGTTGATATTTATTGCTATATTTATTTAATTATTTTCTTTCATTTAGTTTTGCTTTTATTTATTATTCATGTATGTATTTATTTATTCATTTATTTATTTATGTTTATTTATTTTTGGTTTGTTCCTTCATTTGTTGGTTTGTTCGTTCATTTATTTATTTATTTAGTTAGCGTCTTTGTTGTTTGATTGTGAAATTTGATGTTTCACTTCTTAGCTATGTAGTTAAAAGCAAAAAATGATTTTCAATTTATTGTTCTGTTTAGGATATTTTCAGAAAGATCTGTATATCACCAATTAGCGTACAACGATTTACAGGGAACGCTGCCAACGAGATTTGTCCACTTGCTTTTGGGTTGCAGCTACATCAAAAATGATTTTAAATTATTTATTTTAAAGATTTATCTATAGTTATATCTGTCCGGTAATTAATTTTCAAATTTGCTTTTGTATTTCTCAAAAAAGAATTTGTTGGAGCGTGGACTCAATAACGTAAAGCAAAATGTTAAATTTTATGTTACTTCTATTTTCAGTCATGTAATGGAGCCATTTCGACCCACGGGCATTGCAAATGATGACAACAGTTGCTATCTCAATTCTGTTATTCAGCTTTTGTTGTCAAGCGCTTGCATCAGAGATCGGCTCAGTAGACTTACTGAATTTGACCATGGTGGCGTGTTAATTTCAACTGTTATTCCATGATCTTTGTCAATATAGCAAAAATTTGACGTATACATGTGTTAGTACGATTTTTAGCTCTCGAACTGTTATTTCATGATCTTTGCCAATATAGCAAAATTTTGGTGTATACATGTGTTCGTACGATTTTTAGCTCACGAACTGTTATTTCAGGCCCTTTGTCAATATAGTAAAATTTTGGTGTATACATGTGTTAGTACGATTTTTAGTTCTAGAAGTGTTATTTTATGATCTTCGTTGATATATCAAAAATTTAACCTATACATGTGTTAGTACGATTTTTAGTTCTAGAACTGTTATTTCAGGCTCTTTCTCGATATAGCAAAATTTTGGTGTATACATGTATTAGTACGATTTTTTGTTCTAGAACTGTTATTCTTCAATTATTAGTTGTTCAAGTTGTTTGGTTTTTGCTTCAGTTTCTATGCCTTCGGTGTATTGCGCGTAGCGCCTATGTTAAAAATTATAATTTTCAAAAGGCGATATAAAATTAATGTAAATTTTGTAAACTGAATTTCCACCTCTTCAGGGTGCTATAACTGCTCTTTTGAGGAGTTAAGCTCTCATGTTTTATAGGGTTTCTTGATGTCCACACTGGAGGCACTGACGGGTAAGAATGAAATGAGCAGGATGTGGGTGCATGAGAGCAGACGAGTCTACAGAGACAAGCTAGTGGACCTCAAAGACATGCAACAGTACGACCTGCTAGAAAAGGAAATCACCAATAAAGTATTCGACGTAAGTCCAATTTTCAGCTTAGTCAAAAGAGAGTCATCTATTTACTCTGAACCAATTATATTGTACGGAGCTGATTTAAATTATCCGGATAAAACCGACTTCCTCTTAGTTGGTCTCGAATATTTGTTGTCAAAAAATGCGATAATTTACAAAATTTGGATTGCCATATATCAATATTAAGTGCGATTTGATCCGAATTAAATTGAACAATTAATTTGCCTCAATTCACTTTGGAATATTATGAGTGCGGGAACTTTCGCAGCATTAATTCGCTTTTTGAAATTATCAAAATTATCAACTATTAACAAGAACATCCAATCGCGTTGGGCATACTTCCTTGACAATCCGAAGATTTGCGAATCGATACTCAGAGACGCAGTCAACTTTTACTAAATTGGCTCGAATAAAAAAACCATCATAAGCAGATATATTCCGCAATTTTTTTGAAAGCCGGAACAAAAATGATGACGACAAAACTTGTTTAGAATTCTAACCGAATTGATACGAGTTGCAATTTTTTGCGAAGTTCGGGCCCAAAATCTTACCCCAAAACCGATCATTTTCGGTTTTTTAGTCAATGAAAAGTTACACCAGAATTATCGAATCAATTGCTGCCAAAACCATAGCAAATTGAGTTTCTTAGGTACTCAAACAAAATTTTAAGAAAAGTATAATTTTCCAAATTTTGTTTAACTATATTTCTTATTTGTTTGATAGCCAAAAGTGTCGTTTTTACCAATTAAAACACCCATTATTTCTCTAGAAACCAATTTTAAACGTTTCGCTCAAAAGTATCGGGATTATACCCTTCTTAGATTTGTTTGACTACAAAAGGCTCAGTTTGATATAGCTTTGACAGCAATTGATTCGGTAGTTCTTGCTTCGGCAGACATCAATTAATTGGGCATAATTTTTCATTGACTAAAAAGCCAAAAAGAATCGGTTGTGGGGTAAAATATTCATCATTTTTTGTCTAAACTCAATTCAACTTGAGTAAAACTTGAAAATTACAACGCATTTTTCCCAAGTTTTAATTTTCAAGTTTTTTTCGAGATAACTGAAATCAGCAATGTATGATGAGACATTGATTAAAATGACAGAAAATAAAAAGCCACAGGGATGAAATATTGAGATAAAAGTTATCATGATATAAATAGCCGGAAAAACCCCAGTTAGGTTATTTAACAGCAGTTGCCATTAAAGTAAAAGCATTCTTTATGTAACTAAGCATCAGTTATTTTTTGCAAAAGCATTTATCAATACAGAATGTTTTTCAATACAAAAAATTCAAGCTAAAATTTTAATATTTATGTAGAGCCGGTATTGTAAAATGACCTTATTCTATACGGATTAGCAAAAAAAACGGAGTTGAAAACATAAAAAATTCTCAAAATCTAGTTTTTCGCATTCTGTTCAATTTAAAGATAACATATTATTTCAGAAAAATTGAAAAAGATCGAGTTCTATTCAAGCTAAAACGTTTTGTTTACGATTTAACGAAAAAATAAATTGAGCAGGTAATTTAGAAAAAGACACCATGAACTGCGTAATATCAAATTAAGAAAATTTTTAGTTCTAAGTCACGAAAATTATAGGAAAACATACGTAGAGTAGAAAAAAGGTACTTCAACTAAACTAAGAAAAAGTTGTACGACAAAAAATCTCTGTTAGATCGATGACGGTAATGACAGTCATCGATGACGGTAATGACAATTTCTTATAACAGTCAGGTTAATTTATAAAGGGTTTTAAATTTGTTGAGGCTCAAATTTTTTGTGATATGATATTTGATTTACTTTTAAATTCAGTTCATTGCTTTTGTGAAAAAGAAAGCAAAATCCACTATCAAACTGAAAAAGTGAAAAATTACAAAAAAGTGATGTACTCCTAGTCCCGAAAGTGGATTGTATTTTTTAAGAGTCGATGAACGCGATGATATAGGTTGCAATGATTTTTTTTTCTGCAAAATTTTAAAATTTGTTCAGGCTGAGTTTTACTTTTTCGCGGTTTGTAATTTGATTTTGAAGTCGAGTTTGTTTCCTTGGTTAATAGAAAGGCAAACTCCACTATTGAACTGCAAAGGTGAAAGGTCACAAAAAAGGCGGTCGAACTCTCGTTTCAGAAATTGGTAATGCTTTTAAAGAACCGGTGAAGGTAGTTCAGACTGTAATATAGGTCGTGATAGTTTTTCTTTTTTTTTGTTTTTTTTTTGATAATTTTTCAGGTTTGAACCTACTTTTTCGCAGTTTGACTTTTAATTTTTTCTTAGTTCTTAGTTCAGTTCAATTCTTTTGTGAAAAGGGAGGCAAACTCTATTATCGATTAGCAGAGGTGTAAATGTCACAAAAAATGTGATCTTCTTCTGATTTTGAAAGTGGATTTTAATTATCAGATATCCCAAGCAAATAATTTTTTTTTGAATTAATCATTTTTTCTTAATTGGGTGAATTTAAGTAGGTAAAAAACGTCGATCATAATTTGTTCTGGAACTTTTTTTTTGAAATTCGATAATTGATGTTGGCTCTTTTTTTAAATCAAGTTTGATGAAAGTTTCATAATTTAAACTATGCATTTAAAGGAAAAAAATGACAACAATGACATATCAGTTACGAGACCTAAGCGTACTGAACAACAAGATCGCAAATGAGCATTTTTGGTAAACTTTGATTACAGGTAAAATCAAAATTGTATTCGACAGGGTTACTGCATTTTGACGTCCTCCCAAAGGAACTAAATGTAAAAAAATACTTGGACACGAATTTCATACTTCTTCGTTATCTTTTCTTGCAGATTAGGAATACCTTATTACGAAGTGCAAACAGCTTCTTGAGACGTAACCAGGCATTTTTGCGAGTTCTTAAAACCGCATTTTTTTCTGCTGCAGAACTTCTACAGCATGATTTAAGCTAATAGCTCTCAATCATGCGCACACGGAGATCGAGGGTTTACTTGTGACTAATTTGATCTGCAATATCCCCAGATCCCCAGTAAATGAACGAAATAAAGACACTTATATTAGTCAAACGGTTCCTTGCTGATCCGACTTGTCGACTTGTGAAAAAAGTAAAGGAATATTTGCGCTCGAGGTGTTTTGTTTTCCGTGACAACTAGCCAATAAAATTTTGAAGTAGTGCTCACCTAGCATTTTACACCTAGCAATAAAGTTCTATCTATCAGATATAAGGGTATTGAGCGCAAAGTTGAAAAATCAACTGAGATTGTTTATTGTATATTACAGTAACTTGATAGTTGCAGTTTGAGATAGTTTTTGTTCCAACCATTGGAAATGGGGAGGAACTTTATATTCGAGTATGATTTAATTTTTTTCTTTTTGGTTTTCCACGCAAAATTAGCTACCATAAATAATCATCGGACTGGGTTGAGTGATATATCATATAAAAGCCCTTTGAGTCGTGATTCAAACATCATTGAAAAAATTCAAAATTGCTTCCCAGTGTCGAGAAAAAACCGGTATGAAATTTTGGTTTTTCGTCTAATTTCAAGCGAGTGAGCAGGCTTACCTTAGCTTGTTTATGCTTAGTTTAAGCCTTAAAATTTTAGTTTTACTCAAATGAGAGTTAGTTTTTGGAGTTTTTAGCTTCATCTTAGGAATCAAAAACTTGAAAAATTTGGGATAAAAATTTAAAAGTTTTTTTTTGATGTTTCTTGTTTTTCTTCAAAAATTGTTTTCTAATTCGCAAATTTTACAATGACTGACGAAAATGTCTATGCTCTACTTTTTCGCTCAGATTATTTATACAGCACTAAGTTGAAAAATTAACTTTGTTGTAATCTTTTTGAGACTGGTCGGAACATTCGGGGCTACTTTTTGTATTTGTTAAAGGAAAGCGGCTATTTAAAATCCAAATCGAGTTTAGACTGGCCAGATGCTTTCTACGTTTTGTACTTTCCATTGCGGAGTTGGGGAAGGGAGACTATGCAACTTTACAAAATGATAAAAGTTGCTCTGAAATTTTTTTTATTCTTTTTTTTTCTAATACAGAAAACTTTTTTTCCTTGTTGAAGGGTGTCTGGACAATCGGGGCTTCACAAAACGTGTTTTACATTCTTATATACTGATTATTGTCTTTATACTGGTTGGTCTATTGTCCCAGAATATCGAGTTGAGCCAGACGTCAGAACACAAAAATGTTGCTTTCGACAAAATCTAAACCACGATTTATATATGAGGGAAAGGAACAACATCCGAGCGTACAATTTATTTTTTTTAAAAATGATGTTGTGCCTTGTTTAAGAAAGACATGCCTTTTTTTTGGTTATTGATCCGACTTTCGATACAAAAGTAACGGAATTTTTGTGCTCTGGTGGGTTTTTTCTTCAGAAAAATTTCGACTTTTCAACTAGCAATTTTCGACTGATTTTTTAAATATCATTGACAAGGGATTGTTCTCCTGAGCTTAAACTTGAAAAGATATTTCACCTGTGATCATTTTTTGTAAAATTTTGGGGTGAGGGTTGAAGATTGCCATTTTGGCCAATTTGGGACAATTACCGCGCGATATATTTAGATTTAATCCGTCTTAGAAACCGTTCCTAATTGATTGAAACAAGCTTATTTGCAATAATTGATTTGTTACAAGGAGCGAAATCTAATTTTTGGGAGATGAATATATATGGCGTGTGGGGGACGATTTTCACTAAGAAAATTTCAAATTTCAGAATTTTTTTTTATTACATCTAATTTTTATAGGTTATTAGTGCTCCATAAACCTTAAAAGGCAGTCGGAACATTCAGGGCTTTGCCCTGATACGAGCAGTCTTGTTGGGGGGATGTTCACTTGATCCGTCATTTTTTCTTCTTGTCGCTGGTGGACTTTCGTATTGGAACCTGATCTAAACTATATTTTATGATTGGATAAATTAGATATTTTACCACTGTAAAGTATTTAATATTAACCAATCATGATCCATCTAACTAACAACCCACTTATTTGTAAGTGCTGAAATTACTTGTAATTTCAGCACCAGAGAGATTTGAA